GTTTTAGCTCGTTTAAAAAGGGTCCATACAATGATATAGGCCCATACTTCATATCAAGCCAACTGATGGATCAAAAAAAATCTCAATCAACACGATCAAATAATATTGGCAATCATTTCAGATTATGGAACAGTTTTCCTACGAGAAAAATGTTAAGCCGATCTAGGGGAGGGCAAACGCGGCCGCAGTCCTACCCCTCCCCCGGCCTAAAAAGAAAGAAAAAGAAGAAACTAAAAGAGAAAGAAGAAGAGAAAAGAAGAAGAAGAAGGAGAAGAAGACAAAAAAATGGTAAAATAAACATTGTATCCCCCCTTCCTGAAAAATTGAGAACTGAGAACGATTTTATATTATTTAAATTTTGTGCTAAAATTAAATGAAAATAGTTTTTAAATGTGATAAATTAGAACGATATTAAATAGGTCGGCTTATAAATAAGGCAATAAGGGTTATTAACATATTTAAATAACAAAATAAATCAATTCCTTACCTTTTGGCATACCATAAACAAATTGCGTAGGTTAGCGTAGCTACATCCATTGACAGGATTTGGTAAGTCACCTTGAAATTTGGCTTATCTTATGTACAGTTAACTTTATAATCATTCTGTCATAATAATTGTAGTGTATCATGGCTTGTTTTCTTTCATATAAACGTGATTTTACCTAAGCGTCCAACGGTTGATAACGTAACGGCTGGTGAATACTCACTCAGCTCAGCTCAGCTCTGACAACAGTCGACACTGCAATGCCAGTGCCAGTATAGTGCTGTGTGCCCGCCCCCCCCCCCCCCCCCACTCCTTTTTTTTTTTTTTTTTTTTTTACTTTTGAATAACCGGGTCTAGAGGAAAGACTACGCTCGATTCTCATGTTATTCCACAGGAAAAGGATTATGGGGTCTTAGTTTTGAAGATTTTTTAAATTTTTGAAAAAACCGGGTCTGGAGTAAAGACTGTGCGCTATACCCATGCTTTATTACAGGTTTTTAGTTTCGAACAAATTCGACAAATTATCCCTTCAAATGTATTACATTTGTGGGTAAAGTCATTATTACATTTGTGGGTGATTCAAAATTATTACATTTGTGGGTAAAGTGGTTATTACACTTACACTTACCGACAAAACTAGCCACCAATTACCGACAAAAAAATGTCCAATATCTACAAATTCAACCCTATAAACCAGGGGCCGAAGGCTAAATTGTTTTTCCTATGGACTATCTATAGTACTTGCATATGCGCAAAATGATCATTTTCCTCGACGACATAAATATACGAATTATTTCTTCAATTTAGTCAGCATCATAGCTATATATTTTAAGGCAGGCACGGAGCTAGGATCTTATTTTAGGAGGGGCGGTATAGTGAGCAAGAGAATCACTTAAAAGCGCGTTCATTAGGGGGTGTGGGTGATGGGCCTCTCGCGCGAAGCGCGGAAGCTTAGACGTTTCCTTAAATTATTAGGAAAAGAAGACGATTAATTGTATCGTTCTCGACTGTTTATCCTTGGCTGAATGAAGTTTCCCTCCCGCGCGAAGCGCGAAAGCTCTGACGTTTCATTAAATTATTATGAAAAAAGGACGATTTGCTGTACCGTTCTCGACTGTTGATCCTTTTCTGAATTCAGTCGCCCCCCCCCCCCTCCCGCGCAAAGCGCGGAAGCTTTGACGTTTCATTAAATTATGAGAAATAGCAGACGATTCGGTGTACTGTTCTCGACTCTTAATCCTTATCTGAATGTAGCTTCCCCCTCCCGCGCGAAGCGCGGAAGTTTTGACATTTCATTAAATTATTAGAGAAAGAAGACGATTCGTCGTACCGTTTTCGACTAAGCCCTATTCATCTGAATTCAGTTTCCATCTCTCGCGCGAAGCGCGAAAGCTTTGACGTTTCCTCAAATTATTAGAGAAATAAAACGATTCGTTGTACCGTTTTCGACTCTTAATAAGCCCTATAAAATTTTTCTGAATTCAGTTTCCCCCTCTCGCGCGAAGCGCGGAAGCGCGGAAACTTTGACGTTTCCTTATTATTAGAGAAAGAAGACGATTCGTCGTACCGTTCTCGACCGTCTAATTGAAGTTTTCCCCTTCCGCGCGAAGCGCGGAATTTTTGGCGTTTCATCACAATATAGAGAAAGGAAGACGATTCCTTGTACCGTTTTCGAATCTTATTAAGCCCTGTTCATCTGAATTCAGTTTCCCCCTCTCGCACGAAGCGCGAAAGCTTTGACATTTCATTAAATTATTAGAGAAAGAAGACGATTCGTCGTACCGTTTTCGACTAAGCCCTATTCATCTGAATTCAGTTTCCATCTCTCGCGCGAAGCGCGAAAGCTTTGACGTTTCCTCAAATTATTAGAGAAATAAAACGATTCGTTGTACCGTTTTCGACTCTAAATAAGCCCTATTAATTTTTTCTGAATTCAGTTTCCCCCTCTCGCGCGAAGCGCGGAAGCGCGGAAACTTTGACGTTTCCTTATTATTAGAGAAGAAGACGATTCGACGTACCGTTCTCGACCGTCTAATTGAAGTTTTCCCCTTCCGCGCGAAGCGCGGAATTTTTGGCGTTTCATCACAATATAGAGAAAGGAAGACGATTCCTTGTACCGTTTTCGAATCTTATTAAGCCCTGTTCATCTGAATTCAGTTTCCTCCTCTCGCACGAAGCGCGAAAGCTTTGACGTTTCCTCATATAATTAGAGAAAGAAGACAATTCGTTGTATACCGTTCTCGACTCGTCTAAATGAAGACTTCCCCTTCCGCGCGAATCGCGGAAATTTTGGCGTTTCATCACAATATAAAGAAAGGAAGACGATTCGTCGTACCGTTGTTGACTCTTAAACCTTGTTTGAATTTAGTTTCCCGAATATTTTAAACCTCTGATTTCTTTAGCTGATATTATAGGAAAGTGAAACTTCGATAAAATACGAGCATTATAGTTGTAGTCACTTTCGCGTGCGCAGGATTTTTTCAAGGGGGGGGGGGGGGGTTTTAACATTTATAAATCGGGCCAAAAATTCCGCATCGACTCAGCCAGCCGCTGAATAAGCGGGGGGGGGGGGGGGGGGGGGGGGGGGGGGGGGGGGGGGGGGGGGGGGGGGGGGGGGGGTAAGAGGTCACTTTTTTTTTTTTTTTTGGTCCCAAAAAAAATCGCAACGACTCAGCCGACCGCTGAATAAGCGGGGGGGGGGTAAGAGGACACTTTTTGAGGTCAGTCATGGGGATATTTTTTTTTTTTTTTTTTTTTTTTAAAAAAAAAAAAAATAAAAATAAATCCAAAAGGGGGGGGGGGGTTTTAGGGAAATTTAGGGGGGTTTACACAAAAAAATGCCAAAGGGGTTTGGGGGTTTAACCCCCCAACCCCCCCCCCCCCCCCCCCCCCCCCCCCCCCCCCCTGTGTACGCGCCTGCTCTCGAAGTTGTCACAGCGGATAAGAAGTCACAGTTCGTAGGGAAAAAAACTTGTTGGCCGACCTACAATAATACATCTCATCGACTTCAAGCTTCTGCATTGAGGATCGAGCAAGAATACCGACACAGCTGACCCGACACAGCAACATATTTACTCGTGTCTTTCTTGCTCCCTCGACGAGACGACTCCACCCAACAACCCCCTTTTCTCTTTTACTCCCACTCCTCCTCTCTCAGACTCTTACTTCCCCTCTCTTTTATCCCCCGTTTCTTTTGTTTCCCTTCCCTTTTTCCCTTTTTTCCCTTTTTTCTCTTTCTTTCTTCTCTTTTCTTTCCTTTCTTTTCCTTTCTTTCCTTTCTTTCCTTTTTTTTCTTTTCTTTTTTCCTTTTCTTTTTTTCTTTTCTTTCCTTTTCCCTCTCTTTTTTCCCTTTCTTTTTTTCCCTCTCTATTTTTCCCTCTCTTTTTTCCCTCTCTTTTTTTCCCTCCCCCTTTTCTCTTTTTCCCGATGGCTGCGCAATTTTACCGACAATATCCTGACACGTGGGGGGGGGTGTCGCATCCCCACACACACACACACACACACACACACACACCCCCCCCCCCCTTTGGCGACGCCCCTGGCTGCTCGATCCGATTATTTAAAAGTAGATATCCTCTTAATTTAGGTAATCGCAAAATAGCACATTTTGTAGTAAAGACATTGATCTACTCTTGTACACGCATAACGAGCACACTAATCATCTCCATCCATGCAGTAGGGTCGAAATATGAATTAAACGAGCATTTATCGATTAAAGGGCAATTATAAGAAAGAAAAGGAAAACTTTATCAACATTTAACTAGGAGAGCTTATTTCATTTTAAAGTGGCACTTATCAAGCTGAGGTGCAAAATGGTCATTTATAAGAAAGAAGAAGAGGCATTAAGGGGCACTCATCAGGGGTAGTGGGCACATCTAATAAGGGGATCGATCCGAAAGGGGCATTTATCATTTAAAGCTTGTTAAAGTGAAAGGGTGCATAATATATAAGATTTGAAAAGATGCTTTTGTCATTGAGATGTGAAATTGGACACTTATGAGAAGGGGAAGGGCCAGGAAAGGGGAAGGGGCCCTTATTACAATCTATTACATAATTGATATAGCCTACTACAGAATTAATCTTTACAGAATTAGTCTATTACAGAGTAAATCTATTACAGAATCTATTACAGAATTTATCTATTACAGATTTTATCTATTACATAATCTATTACAGAACCATTAAACCAATTAAACTATTTAAAGGGTACTAGCTGTGACAGACGTCAGACATTGTTTACGCCCTCTTTTGACCAACAACTGCAGAAGCGAAATGAGTAACCATAGTGACCATATTCATCCGCACTGCTTGATTAATTATGTTTTTGTTCAATCTGCTTTCAATATTGCGTGAAAAGTGTAATGAAATATCATTGCTTTACAATAAAACTTCCATAAAGTATATATTGTGTTTAAATATGGAAGAAATATTAGCCTGAACTATGGAGTTTATGGTAGTCGCGCATGAGCATTTGTTTACACCACAGGAGTTAATCGGTCCTATACTTCACGTGTACGTATTATGACTACTGTAAACATTGTCCGGAGTCTGACCTGACTTTAGTCGGACCGACCGTATCGGTTATTTGACTACTTGACCAAGCTCATCTTTGTTTCTACTCTCATCGACAAATATATGAACGTCGCTATCAGGTTTCCGCTATTAAATTTTCGTTAGAAACGTAATAAAAGCGTCTACGTTCGCGCATTCAGACAGGTGGAAGAAAAGAAGATGGCATCGGGTTCGTCCGATTATACAAGCCCGCCCATCGCGGGGACAAGGAAGGGGAAGAGGTCGGTGGCTCACAGACAGCCGCAGGGACAATCATCTGGTACCGTGCTCACAAATAGGTCCAAGAACATGACTGTCATCACTCCTCTAGAAGATCGCAAATCTATCATTGCACCGTCACTGTCAAAAGGAACGAGATGGATGCATAGATCTACAATTACGATGGAAAGAAATCAACAAGCGCCAGATTTTATCACATCAACACAAGAGGTAAGTTTCAAATTTCAATTTGATTTGCTGATGAGTGATGTGCCAAAACGCTAAAAAAATAGAAATGAAGGGTTCTAGGGTCTATTTTTTCTTTCTTTTTTCTTTCCTTGTCAAAGACGAGACTATTTAAACTGCCAAAACTTTATATCCAAAGATCTACAACGTAGACTACTGTAGATAGCTCTAGATGTACACTGATATAATTTGATGAAAATAAAGTTGTTTATCTCCTTAGTACCTACAATCAGTACGAGAATACACCCGACGGTGGCCTGTACTTATAGCGAAGAAGAAGTAGTAGTAAATCTATAAACTCAAAAGAGTTCCATACCATAGATCTAGACTCTAGATCTACTAGAATAATAATTTCTTAAAATTCAAAACCTGTTCCTGAAATGAATCAAGTCCAACTCCAAGCCAATTATATCAAAATTTGTGTTAAGAGTGATATTTCAAGTTTCAGTGAGCATATTTCATGGATATTGTTTGCATGGCTGCATGCATTAAGATATTTCAATCATAGGTCTAGTCTAGACTAGTCTTCTAAATTGTTGTTTTTTTAATTTAAACTCGTCATATTCTTATCTTTAGTTGTGTTCTTCTACTCATACTCTTGGACTCAGAGATTTGGTCTTTTTGATGAGGAAAATCCATTGCCATGAAGCATCAATGATTCATTAAAAAAACTGATAGAAGAACTGGACAGCATATCATGAAACCATTACAAATACAAGTTCAAAACTTCACCAACATCCCATTGAAACGTGTGTATTGTAAATAAGCATTATTGTGGGATTCCATTTTAATTGTTTCTTCTTTCCTCCTCAGTCTTACAATGGCAGCAAAACACTTCCTGGTGCCCGGAGATCGACTGCTTGTCCAACTCTTCACTCATCTCATTTTGACATTGGTCTCAATAAAAAGAACTACCACAACACACACTACAAATCACAGTTTCCTCACCACAAGGTCGATCATGTAAGTAGTTAAATTGTAACTGAGCTTCTATCTTTTATCACCGGTGCCTCCATTATGATCCAGCATAACTTCTCATGATTGGCTACAATTTATAAGATGTTTTAATGTTTAGCAAAGAAGTTTAGATTCATGATCTTTTATGCTAGTGATTAATCAATGATATATCAGATTAATTCCTCAAAACTGACATTAAATCATACTGTACATTGCAGTATGTTCTCTATCTTTCCTGTATCCGACTATGTACATTTTTCTTAATTTACATAGTTTAATTAAACATTTAAACAAAGAGAGTGAAAAGCTTAAGCATGCACTTTCCAATTTGGAACACAGGGGTTTATGTTGACTTGAAGATCAAGTTATCTGCCGATGACGATCACTGTATAGTAATTTTCCTCTTTTCCGTGTAGAGATATTCAGATTGCAATACCAATATTGTTGTGTCCTGTGAGTCTTTCCCTCTCCTATCCATCTAATTTTCAATATCCACTTTATCCCAATCACTCTGTAGCCCAACAAGCTTCATTATCAATCCATTACAAACTGGACGCAGAATGTGAAAGGCTCTAAGATGCATGATGTGTTGAGCAGAGAAGGTCACTCTGAAGACTACTGGAGCTCATATGCTCATGTCCATGATAGATTGGGATTAGAGCGTGGCGAAGGAGTCCAGAGAGCTAGACAATCATTACCCACCTATAATATACTTACAGGTATTGTATTTATACATCTTGCAATTGAAATATTGGATAAACTATTTGTGCCAGTGGGACGTTAAGTTGAAAGGATTGTTCACTGTGCTATAGGAGATATTGAGAAAGATTGCACTACATATATTTATATGAAATTAAAGTCAAGCCTCATGCAGATATGAGGAGGTAGTAAACCACAGCAGTTTTTTATATGATGACGTACCGTAAGTGTAATTTGTACTTGTATCACATTCTGTATCTTACAAGTTACAACACAGGGCTCAGTGAATCTTCGTAGTACCTCTGTTGTGTGCAGCTGCCATTCGATTACCCAGTATATGCAAAAGAAATTGCAGCATTTATTTTGTTTAATTTTTTTTTTTTTTTTTTTTTTTTTTTTGGGGGGGGGTGGTCTACAAGCCTTAATTGTTTGCACATCACAAATAATCTGTCATCAATACCTAGTGTGTCTTAATTGTCATATCTCATATATATCCATATTTCATTTTATGTTACAGGCCATGAGACCGGAACAAACACAGACAGAGATCTTCATCTGATATCAGGGAATCGTGTTCTTCACTCAATACGCCAAATCCCTCAGCAAAGCTTGATACTGGAATAATTTTGTGTCGACACCTACATGTACATTCAATTGATAGATAGAGTGGATTCACAATTAACAGCACCTCCGTCTAGCCGGGACAGGCCAATTTTCCAGCTCGTGAGTCCACAGCTTTTGCAGCAAAGCGCTAGCCACCAATCGAAATGACCGAAGCAGCCGAAACCGTATAATGATTTAAGTGAGATTTATTGTTCTCATATCAGTGCACATTTCTTTATCGAATTTGGATGTCAACACCGACCCATCAATTTATTCTGACTGAAAATTTTGCATGAGTTTGGACAAAAAATCAATAGAAATTGTCACTTTTGCTAGATAGATAGCCCTGTGAATTGTTAATCTACGGTATTCTTTTCAGCATCCAGGACCTTTGTGAAACTCTTTGAAGGTTCTATTTGTTGTGTGCCATTCATTCACCTTTTATTGATCTTACAGAAATATACTGCCCACCTGGGATAGAGTGGCATTATTGAACAGTGTAGTGGTTGTTAGATCTTGGAACAAATTTATACTTGGTCACTATCTTTTCTCTTTTTTTGTTATTAGTAAGGATATTTTTGATTTGTTCATAATATAGTAAAAAATGACATTCATGATATGGAATCTTATTTGGATACCATAGGATACCAACACATCAGGCTGATTTTATATTGAAGTGCTACATCTTGTGTGTGTTCTTGGTACCTCACCTATCCGTCCATGTACTTGAGTAGTATTCAGAAACATCACCAAGACAAAAAAGAACACAAAGAGTCTTCCAAATATTAAGTATTTCCAAGAGGCATATATTACAAATACAAATATTACCAAATTGTCTTTCTGAAACCAGAGTCGTTATGAGACCTGTTTATCACCAGGCCCTGGAAGCACCAAGCTTAGTGCCAAAGAGGTTTTTTTATTTTTTTTTATTCATATTTTAATTGCTGTTTCCTGACGAGGTTCAGTGACTACTACCATCTGTACACAGACATTTCTGTTAAAATGTCGCCCTCTATAAAGTGTAGTTGACAAGAGGGGTGAGTTGTTTTGATATTCTGAAATACAGTAGTCTAGGTCATATTGTTTGGGGCATTTAAATTGTAAATTTCAATCAATCTCATCTTCAATGAATACATTTTTTTGTTTAGTTCATGTTTGTTTAATGGTTGATAATTAACTCACACATGAAATGGAAGAAAGGTGTGATAAGCTTTACTGTATTCAATCCTGCTTATTTGATAAGAACTGTTACTTAGCGTTTAATTACTTCAGTAAATAGTTTGATCACATTCTAAATACTGCAAAGATACAAACAAGATTAAGATACTTCTGTGGTACATGTACTACCATTCATATATGAGTCAAGTATTGGATATTACAAAATTAGCTTTTTCCTTTTATGTTGTAGATCTTGAACATTATCTTTTCGTTCAAGATATTACAGTAGTTTAGATTCATTGAGAGAAACTGGTCACTACCGGAAGTTCAAATTTTTATTTCCAATCAACTCAAGCATTTTACATGTGCATGAATTCTCGCTACCCCAAATAGCGATTCTGCCGAGATCCGGGGAAAATCCTGAAAACGCGCATTGCATTATGGGATAGCTTTTCGACATTACAGCTTCCTGTGCAGGCGTTCGTGATCACAACCCTCTCTTTCACGGTAGAGTTTAACGGCCTTTTGTGCTAAAGTCACTAATTCTGCCCGAAGCTTTCCATTGCATATTATAATCTGTACAAATTACACTGATTGGCATCGATTTTAGCGTGCGTGAAAACTCTGCACAGCGAACACAGGCGCTAGCGCCAGCGGGATGGGACTCTATACCGGAAGTTGTAGTGACGACCCGTGAGAGTGAAAATTACCTCGTCTCGCGAATTTTGAGATTTTCGTACCTATTTAGGGTAGTGAGAATTGTATTTATATAGTGATTTATGAATATGCTGATTGCTTTATATGTATCATTCAAGGCTGACAATATTCTTCCAAGCTTCTTCCATTGATATGTGTTTTCTTTGTATACTAAACTTTTTTATGAATCACATCTGTGTGCAATATTTTTGTATATAGTATGGTTAGACAATTAACCAATAAATATATAAAATGCGTTTTCTGGCTTCTAAGAATAATCTTGTATCATGTTTCTTTCATTGCCAATTCCTTTATTGAGAGGTTAATGTCAGTGTCTATGTCAAAGAGTGCCTCATCCTTTCTTTCTTTTTTTCTTAATCATTTCTTTTTTTCTTCAATTTGAGATCAAAGAGAAAAATGCTACACAAATAACAACAGGTGAATGATACAGAGAGTGTGAGAGGGAAGGCAACAGAAAGAAACTCTTAAGATATAACTACTATTTGGAAAGAAGAAAAATTCCTGCGAAATAAGAGAAGGGGCAAGTTAAAGGTAATACAAAGTTTTGGTATGGGGTCATGAATTTGGTTCAAATGAATATATTGGAAGCATCTGCGATCCTACAATATTCATTGGACGTTGTCACGGTTGAAATCGAGTCTAAAGTTATGAAATTGTAAATAATTAACTCTTTATGTTGTATAGCTCCCTCTCAAGGTCAAGATATTAATTAAGCTATAAAACAATGTTTCTTGACTAAAGTCAACCGATTAGCTATTCCCGTTTGGAAATTATACATCACAACTACATATTCTGAAATTTTCATGGTCGCAGCTACCATTGTACGGCCGTAGGCGCTATTTGAAATTCATCAAAATTTACCGGGAGCACCGGTAAATTGTTATATTCAATTTTTCTCGAAAGCAGTAGTGTTTTAGGGGCTAAATTTTCTAGTGCTTATAATCCATCCACAGGGGCATCCAAATATATCAAAATTGTAAAGAATCACTATCCACCCAATTTTCAAAATTTCCCAAAACTTTGTATTACCTTTAAGAGAGCGTAAGGAGTAGAAGAAAAAGGGCACAGTGAGATAGAGTGACTTTATAGAGAAAGAATGGATATCAATCTGGAGAAATGGCATGAAAGAAGAAGCTACTAGAGGGTAGTGAAAACAAGAAATGACAGCTTCATCCTCTGATGCTGTCATTTCTTTTACACTTGTATAGAAACATTGAATAGAAATATGGATCATAATGCACTGTTTGTTATAACAATTTAAAAAAAGGTTGAACTTTAATGTCAGGAAGCAGTTCTCTTGTAATCTCTCTCTCTCTCTCTTCCTCTCTCTCTCTCTCTCCCTTTCTCTCTCTCACTATCTCTAACTCTCCCTCCATCTATCTCTATTCCCCCCCCCTCTCTCTCTCTCTCTCTCTTTTTCTTTCTCTCTCTCTCTTTATCTATTTATCTCTATCTCTCTCTCGAAGAAGAATTTCTTTTGTTATTCTGTACAATTGGGATGTTCCATTGCAGATACATAACTTTATCTCATGGAATAACAAGCTACCTTCCCACCTCTCCTACTTGCCTATTGCCACTCCAACACATCAACCTCTCACAACTACTATGGAAAGCTTACATCCAAGGATAACATCACACTCATGGTCTACCGTTAAGAAGGATTTTATTCTAACAATCATGCAACATGTAGGTATATGAAGAGTAAATAGGGTTGTAACAAATTATGATAAACAAAAGAGAAACAGTAAAAGTGGAACATAGAATATATTACCGGTAAGTTAACATTAGCTCTACAGTGAGTAACTACTTTGCATAATCGGTTAAACTATCAAAAACATTTATAAACCTACAATTCTTTTATGAAGATCATTTTCGAAACGCACATGACCATATTTCTAATTAATGTATATATCACTCGTAGATATAGCCAACTTCTCTGTTTCTTAACCATGGTCTATACTTGTTGGTACATTTTAACGACATAACACTGATGCAACTAAATTAACTAAAAGAACCATGGTGACTTCAAGGAGTCTCGAAGAATGTAACACATACCTGCCAACCTTCCACATTGGGGTCAATCAAGGAAAAATTAGGAATACAGTGTATTCTATATGTTTTTACATGTAAGTTTTTCATGAAGAGAGGACTCTCCAGTTCTACATATTTTTTTCCTCGAGGCCACAAATGGGAATCTTTCCTCCAAAATAGGAAAAGTTGGTAGTTATGGTGACCTTGGAAGAACAAAAAGAAAAGAAACCAAGCAAAGACTACTTCCTTTAATACCTTACATGAGACTATTTCTAGCATACATTATGGATAAATTTATTCTTAACATTAGAGTGATACAGCAGTTGTCATGAACATGAAGGTTAAGTTTAAAACCCTAAAAAACTCTTAAGAGTGAAATCAATACTCCCTATTTTGCACCGGAAGTCCGGAACTAACAATTTTAATTTATCCATAGCAGTGGCAAATATAAGTAAATGAAGATAAACACATTACGCTAACAAGCTTCCTCTTAATAGATGGATGCCTAGTGGAAATGCATTGAAAGTATATTGAATATATTTTTGTTTTTAATTAAACATCTCTGAAGACAATTCATGCTATAATGCTGATTGCTAAATAATGATAATATACTTTTCAATTGAGCCACAATGACTGACTTCTTATACTTCAATATTTAAACAATATTTTCAACACTTTGTAGCCTCAATAAGAAATATGCATGTATCTACACAGCTCTGAGAAACATTCAGGCTGTAGTAAGCCCTATATAATTCCATATTATCATCAGTATTTTTTTCTTCAAAGTGAAACTTATACATTTACTGGGAGATGTTAACATAGTCTCGATAACAAAACAAAGAAGACCAAAAAATTGATAATAACAAGAAAAAATCTCTTTTATTCTGCTAGAGTGATTATATTACATATTACTCTTTAATAAGACAGTTCACTTGAATAAGAAATATAAGGATACTGTAGTGAACATGCAGTTATATAACACATACCGTACAAACCATACATTATTACAGAAACACTCAATCTAAAGAAAGTCTGATTGTTCTGCTATATCTACCTTACAAACCAGGATACAATTACAAAGTTTAATAATGCTTTATCTACAACAAGTTAACATGCAAGGGAAAACAAAACACTGACTTACCACATTTACAACTATTTATTAATACAAGAGTGCCTTGGTCTTTCAAATTGAGATTCAGGACAGAAAAGAAAAGACAATGAAGGAACTGGATAACAAAGTTACCTCCAAAATTGCAACACTTGTATGTAAAGCACTTAAAAGAAGTTTATTTTCTCAAATGAATGATAAAGGGATAATTGATTTACATACACTCTATGTCAAGTGATTGTCTTTAATACCATAACATTATTTTGGACAATGGTCCAAAATATATGAAAATCAAAGAAATCAGCTTTTATTTTGTAAACTGCTAACTGATAACAACAACCAGTCAAGTTGACAAAGTTCAATCATGTCCTGACATTGTTCAATGGACAAAGTCCCGACAAATCTGGTATTCTTCTGAACAATTGTCTCTTTTAATAGATGATCTGCTCTATGGTCTGAGAATTCCATAGCTTTCTATGGAGTCAACAAATTCTGGTTTCCCCTGAATTATTCTCACAAATGACCAGGTCAACAGCTGACCAAGAAACATTCATTCCTCATTCAATACGGACATCCCAATTTCTCCACAGTTGGACAAGGTCACCCATTCAACAATAGGAATCATTCCCATGTGGCGAACCCTCGTTAATGTCATTACAAAAACGCCATAACATCGTCTCCTTCATCTATTCCTGCAATGCTTTTGGTCCTCAACAATCAAAAGTAACCTTCCACAATTCTATACCAGAAACTATGTTTCTCTCTGAGCTCTTGGCTTTGCAATTAGCTTACTCTCCGTCTTGTCTCTGTTGACTCAATGCTTACTCTAGTTCTTCAAAAAATAACCTCTACTTCAATTCCACGTACCAATGATAAAAAAGCATTGGTTGAGAATTCTTGTGAAACTCATCAATAATCCTGCATACTCACTGCTAGCAGACAAGGCCAATTTAATTTCATATATAGTGTACAATAAATATTGATTTAAAGGCAAGGTGTGCTATTCAACAAATAATACCCAAAAGCCTGTTAAAATGAAATATCATTGTTACAGATTTTCACAACTTTGGATGTAGAGAGAGTTTACTGCATTCACTGGGGGTATAAGACAGTTTTGCCAAAAAAGTGTTCATCTACGATGGTGTACAATGTTGAAAGTCCTAAATGTTTTTATGCTAGTGCTCTGGTAAGCTGCAAATGAATGATAGATCATGGGATTGCAAGCTTGAACTAACAGAAAAAAGTGCAAGTTGGGAGCTAGAAGGGAGTTACTCATATCCTTTAACACAGAGTTATTGCCTTTCTGGCTCTCAACAAACCAAACGGAAAAGGTTGGGCATTCAGGGATTCATATACTATTATTTTCCTTTAAATTATTAATACTTCATTTGTGACTGGAAAACATTATTTGCTATACTCGTTTGGTATTTATGTTCATGGGCTCAAGTTCAATTGACTCGCTAACTATTATCAGCTACATGAATTGGAGAATTTTTTGTTTCATTTTTAATATGCTACCACAATTTTCACTTAAATGAACAATTACATATTTGTGCAGTGGACACTGTTGAGAACAGGCCACACTAAAACAAACAATATAATGTCTCCTAACAATATCTGCTTTACGTTGCGACATAATGTTTGTTTAATTATAGTCTGCACAGGTTTGGGGGCCAGGGATTGTCAGTCTATACAGGTATTACAGGCTATCTAATTGAGTTTCACAACTATTCTCCCTAACACTTCACTGTGGCCTCTCAGAATGGTCTTTGGGTGAAGATTCCTTTTCTAGAGCAGCATGAGACATGATAGACCAGATTTCAGCATTACATCACAGCCAGATAGAGCTCCCTTCCAATCCAGGTATCACCTAAAGAAAGCCAGCAAGATCTAACCCCCACCCCCCTTGCAAGGCGACTCCATAAGTCTCTTGATCAGGGGGGTGGGGTCTGCTTCTCGTGATGTCTGGATGATATCAGCGGCTTGGCACGCGCCGCCTTTTTCTCTCACTCTCTACGATATGTTGGTTGATCCCATGATCCCAGCCAGCCAGCGTTGGGATTGGGTTGGTGGGGGGCATTGTTTCCCTCACACCCAGGCTGTCCAGCCCTCATACAGGGTTGCCAGGTTGTCTATGCTCGTTGCTTCCTTGATCACATAGTCAACCTGTACAGACATGACAACATACAACATGTTTCAGTTCAATCACAAGAAAGCTTCTAGTGGGGTCCTGTTACAAAAAAAAAATTATCTTCATGTACTGCATAATAATAATAATAATAATAATAATATTGGATATTTATATAGTGCACATAATCCACCCTGTGAGATGCTCAAAGTGCTCCAATATTACCCGGCTCTGCTAGGCCACCGATTTCAGTGCTCACAGCATTCAAGGAATTTCTTCCTACCTGTACCCATTTAACACCTGGGTGGAGAGTGGCAAATGTAGACTAATATCTAACCATGCGACATTAGTGCCCCAACAGGACTCGAACTGCGAACCCTGTTATCCACAGTCCAACATCGTATCAACTACACCAAAAAGATTTTGCCACACCTCTAGTAATAACAGTATTTACAGCAAGTACAATATTTTCAGGGGAGAGGCATGATGATCCCTCCCCCCCCCGCCCCCCCCCCCCCCCCCCCCCCCAAAAAAAGTCTTGATAGTATTATCGCTCACTGTTTACAGAATGGCCCCCAAAATTCTCATCTTGAGTTCTAATCATATTTCATCCTAACGATAGGTATGAGATATTGTACATTTTTAATGTACTTTGCAGGTAGAAAAAATGGCCAATTTTACTCCAAAATGAATGTACCGCCTTTCAGTCAGAAGACAAAAACCTCTTTCTGTAGCAGTGATAGAACCAAGTCTACCTCATAATGACAAGAATTGCACCAATATTAAAGCCCCACTGCACTACTTATAGCTACTTATGCCCTCTATATAGCAAACAATGCCTGATCAGTGACCATTGGTCCCCCTTGATCCTCTTTTTCTTATGTTAAGTGAGAGCTTATTTGATGAGATAACCACCTGTCAGTGACCTTGCAGGGTGGTCTAATCCCTCCTGTAAACTTGTACAGATGGGCTTTAATATGATCTTGCCCTTCACACACTCCTCAATATGGACATGTACTTACCTGCTCTGTGACAGCCAGCCTCTTAGAAGGTTCAGGGTCCCGACCGTCCAGTTTGCCTTTCACTCTCCTCCACACGTTGATGGCATAGGTGTTCCTCACCTGGATGATCTTACCGGTCCGAGGGTCTCGCATGATAGCTGGTGAACCCTTGGCTTGTCCTAAGGATAAAAATATACGATAGCGGCTTTCTATCAGGCTTCTCTTTGATTCCACCTTCATATCAAATCTGTTATTTATGGTCTTGATCCTCATAATACATAGTTGATGTCTACACGAATGGTCTTTATTTTGTATTCCTGGCTGAAATGCTCCCCAGGGAGTAGAGATTTTGCACACAGTGTGCCGAGCAAGTATTGAATCCAATGACCGGGGTAATAGTATATGTGTAAAGTGCTTAAAGACATCATAGATGTATTAAGCGCTATATAAAAGCAGAATTATTATTAATGGTGGTGATGGTGGTGGTGATGATGGTGATGATGATGGTGATGATGATGGTGATGATGATGACAATGATAGAGATGATTATAATGATGATAAAGATAGTGAAGATGATGATGATGATGATGATGATGATGATGATATAGATAGTGATGATGATGAAGATGATTATAATGATAACAATTCTTATGAATATGAAACTCCTTATACATCGAGTGGTGCCTTTTAACTATGCAACACAAAATGAAAACCTTGGTCACCAGATTGCTGTTTTTCTTCCTACAAGAGTAGACAATCCCAATCGTAAACATATTTTCAGATACAATGATTAAGCCATGGTAGCAAGGATACGACTGGTGGGGTGTTTCACATAACTTGTCAGCACTGACAAATGACAGTTTTTGTTATAAGCTACTGAAATCCTTGCTTCTGATTGGTTATCAGCAGATTTGTCACTGAGTTTTGTCGTTTGTAATTGAAAAATGGCTTTGTGAAACGGATCCCTGGAGCTTTGGACCTACCCTGCTTAGCAGTGGGTGGGGTAGCATGATGTACCTCCCTTATCTTAACCTGCTGCTGCTGCTTGGTGGTAGGCTTCCCTTGGGGGCGTAAGTCCTCTTCAGTAAGCTCACCTCCTGGAGGCTTGGTGGGTTTGCTGTCAGTGGTTCCGGGGGCCTCGGTGGAACCACTCACTACTGTGGCAGGGTGAATTTGGAGAAAATAGGGGGGGGGGGGGTAATTATTAGAAAAAAATTGAAATCTGAACATTTGTACCATGATATTGCTAAGGAAAGCTTACTTTCAACTAGAACATTCATCATAACAAAGCTTAGCTGTCTGCCACTCAAGCAGAAGGCCCCCCCCCCCCCCCCCCCCCCCATCATAGGTAGCTACTGATACAGTTGTTACATAATCTGTAGAAAAGTTGCTACAACTGTCTCTTCTTAAACATGTGTGAATCATAACCACATTATATATAAGTTAAAATTATGGTTTTGCAAGAGTGTGGTTAATCATAGACTAGTTTTCATTGTAAGAATGCTCAGTATATTTTGTTAACATACCACTTTTTTTGTCTCCTTCTCCATCTTCGTCCTCTGTAGACTGAGTAGCTATGCAAACCAGGCGATCATACATCCTGCAAACAATATGGAGAAAATCATTTAATACAAATATTTCATCACCATGTGACTGTTTGCTTCTGACCAACAAGCAATAACCTTTGATTTCTGCCCTTTTGGACTGCATCTATCCATGATCTTAACAAATCACTTGAATAGAACTCCTAGTGTGATATTTAAAAGGATATTTGTGATCTCCAGGCACTTCTCTTCTTATATATCTATCATTCATTGAATTTTATTAAATTGTCATGGAATTCATGTTGAAACTCCTTTGGCTTTACAACTCCACTAATCTTGAGCATTATCTTTTGATCACAAAGCAACTGCTTATAGCTCAACAAAATGCAAGTAAGATATCACCACCATACTGGCAGGAAACACCTCTTATTCACTACCACTGAACCCTGTTACATGTCACAAAGAAATCAACCAAATAAAATTCAAAAGTACATGTAACATTATATATGTACAATAAACAACGGGGTGAGTGAATAGGCTCATAATTAACATACCCTTTAACATGGTCAATGAGTGAGTGTATTGTAGGCTTGACCTCAATCAGTTCTTGTAGCTTCTCACTATTATCATGTGATGACGCTGAAATAGAGAGTAACACCAATTCAAAGAATCAGGAATTTCAAAATATTTTTAAACATTTTTTTATCATACATGGAAAGGATGAGACCCCATGCACAAACTATTTGTCAACAAACCTAGGTTTATGTGCGTCATATGAGGCATTTCAACAAAATGTACCAGTAATATCAATTTTAAAAAATCATGAATTTCAACCCCAAAACATCCAAGAATGAGACCCCATGTGCAAATATAATTTCAATTTTTTTTCAACATCTACACAAAGATTTAACTGTATCAATTTATATTTAGTACCATGTATTATTTCACTCCTTCACTCAATATCATTTGGTTAAACAGACTGGGAAACTAATTTTTCTTCATCGTTTGCACTGTAATACTGTATGTATAGACAAGTAGCAATATTCTATTCAATATCTAATACCGGTACTCAGTTGGTCAAATCTACTACTTGGGGGATAAACTCATCACTTCAGTTCAACGGATTACGTTTTTTCCCTATTTGGAGAGCAAGGGTCTATGGGTTGGTATCATCAATATCAAAATAACTTAAGGTAAAAACAGGTAACTGAAGGAATAAGGGAATAAATATAACGAGAGCCTTACTGGTTAGTATCCTGCCTAGCATTGTAGCAAAGGTCTCAGAGTATTGCTTGTAGAAGGTCTTGAACCTCTGAGCTTCAGCCATCCCAGCACTACCACCTTCCTCATCCTCAGCGATGACCCTCAGCATACCTTTGACCTCTGACATGAGTTCATTATGGGTGGTCAGTCCCATCTTGACCACATCAACCATTGTCTGCACCGTCTCCTATAATATATGAAAGAAGCATATCAGACAGGTTACAGGCCGTCTGTACTAGTTTGGGTAGGAGAGATTAGACCACCCAGGAAGGTCACTGACAGGTGGCTATCTCATCAACTCAGCTCTCAATTAACATAAGAAAAAGAGGATCATGGGGGACCAATGGTCACTGATTAGGCATTGTTTTCTATACAGAGGGAGCAAGTAGCTACAACTTTAAGATATACAAAAAGGTGTTTGCGGGTCGCATCTTATTCTTTCATTATCATTTGATACAAATATCTTGAAAAAAGTTCTAAAAGGGGGTAAAAGCTTTAGCCAATAATTACAAGACAGAAACTACCCATACAAAGAGAGAATGGCATGTTTAGATTCACATTGCTCAGAAAATTCTGATGAGAGTACCTGATTTTCTACTAGTATATGAAGCCGACTTGACAGAGAGGGGTAATATAATGGTTAGGAATAAGTCTAGCCCAGAAAACAATAAATTTCTCCAAAACGATGCTAAGCTGAATATACAACATACCGTAAGTAATTTGAGCACAACAAAAGACAACCCTATACTATGAGAGCAGAATGTTAACTGTCACTTCTGCATCAAGTTTTAATCAACCGTATCTCACCTTGTCAGCTTCTATCTTTGCCTCTGCTTCAGCTGCCTTCCCTTGGCATTCAGTGACCTTCTTCCGGATGGACTCTGAGAGCCCCTTGATCCATTTGTTGTTGATAGGTCTATCAATGGTCAGAGGTTTCAAGGCCAGATAGTCCTCTTCAGCTAGGCTAAGGTTTGCTGATCTAGTCTCCAATGAGTTACAAACTTGAAGACATCTAAATGACAAGAAGGTAACGATCAAGCATGAAATTTAAATGTGTCCCTTGGTCAATCTACTTCTTTGTGATAGGTTTATCAATGGTGAGAGGTTTCAGTGGTAGGTTATCCTCTTTTGCATGGCTTAGGGTAGCTCTTCTAGCATTACTAGAGAGTTGCTAACATAAATGAATATAAATCATGGATGAATTTGTAACTTCTGCATGTCAAAACACAAAGAATATTATTCATCCAAATGAACTACTTGGACATGGCTCAACGGATTCTATAACTTAAATCAAATATGGATCATAATTCACAGTTTGCTCTCTAATCAAAGCACTACGGATGAAATTACTTGACTAATTTACAAAAAGGCTGATATTATCTCATCTACATATCTGCTGAAAGAATTAATTTAATGATTGGATCCTTAAAGCTTTATAACAGGCAGAATTAAAGCTAAGGAAATAGTTCCAAGGCCAAAAAGGAAACCCTATGTAAAAGTAAATTTGCATTCATTACTAAGATAAAACACTGGCTTACACGCACTGACAACTCACAAGCAAGTGAAAGACAGATAAAACATGAAAGTACCTTTGGAGGATATCATGAAAGCCATTGTCTGCATAAACCGATTCTGAGGTACGGGTTCTCATTCCCTCAAAGTGCAGGATGGCATGACATAGGGCTCCAATTTCAGATGCTCTCTTTGTCTCCAGCTGAGTACGAACAAGCATCAAAACCAATGATATTTATTGCATCAATACAAAACAACTTTTCTTCATGGTATAAAATGCACATTGCAATTTCCCCAAAAAATCAAAACATATCTGGCTACTTAATACACAAGTGTATCTTAAGATTAAGAACCGCCAATAATTAGTTGTTGGAATAACTGTAGTATTTTAGTATACTTCAGAACAGATTTTGTGGCGAAGACATCTCATGCTCAAGACATTTAACCCCCGCAGTGCAGCACTAATCTACATTTACCACTTTCCACCCAGGTGAAGTAAATGGGTTACCCGTAGGAATGAATTCCTTGGATGCTTTAGCGCCTTATAATGGTGGTTCAGCTACAGCTGGGGTACTAATATTATACTTTTTATTAAGCGCAGTACAGTATATTCATATAGGAGCTGTGCTATATAAATGTCCATTTTATTATTATTTGTATATGGTCATTCCTTCCTCTATTATCAAGCCAAAACGATTGACATTGTACAAAAGATCACATATTTGTGTCATACCGTGTAGAGCTGTGTCTTGTCCTGTATGGAGGCATCTACATCTTTCATGACATTAGCCAGTGATGGGTTAGCTCCAGCAGCCCACTTCAGCCTCTGACAAACTCTTCCCTGTACCCCCAGAGCACGCTCCTGCATGGTTCCTATAGCGCCCTCTATTGACTGGAGGGCTTGCAGACGTTTCCTCATGTCGGACATGATGGCAGACCTGTTGATTATTTATAGATGAGATACACACCCCAACTATTAGACCAGCGTATCCCTCAAAATGTGTTATAAAAGGTGAGATCATGTGGACAACAGAATTAAAAAAAAAAAAATTCAATTGAACAACTAAACAACTCACATACATGTACATGTATAACTTGTAGTATAAATGATATAGAAATTTACATCAAATCTGACTAAACAAGTCTCACTTTCATGTACATGTATGTGGTAAGAATTTATAAGGAATAGAGGGCAGAAGGTTGATAAAATCTTGGAAAGGGTTAAGGAAGATGAGTAAACGAGGGAAACATAGTCCCAAGAGATGATAATGTTCATGGGTGAGAACTGTCATCGGACTTACAAAGCTAACCACTGACATCCTACATGTTTATGTATGATCTTTTATGCTTCTAAAGAAGTACCTTGCGGGTGGGATGAACTGATAACCAGCCCTATCAGGTCCGGCTGCCTGCAGGATGTCTTCATACAGCCACTGGAATCGCAGAAGCTGTGTCTGAGCTCTACGGTTTATGTCTTGAGCGTTCTCTAGGCTTTGATGTTGTTGGCTGTAAAGATAAATGAGTATACTCATAAAACTCCATATAAATACCTTTAATCATTCATACATATAGAAATGTGTGTTGCCCCTAATGGTATTCCTTTTAAGAGAGATGCATTTTGTAAAATGTCACAAATCCTAAGCTCACAAATGTGAGACTCAACAAATACAATTCTAGTAAATCTTTGGATCATAAGTTCTGTTGACGATTTGAAAGAATCATACTGCCCACGTTGATATTGTAGGGACTAACAATTGTTGCAAAAGCAAAAGAACATAACTGTACTTTTTCTTCAATTTAGACATGCTGATATACAAATTCTATCACTAAATCCCGCTATTTTGATTGTCAGAATAACATTAATAAAAACAGCAGGGTGGCAGTTGTTGATTCTGATTATGAGAAGTACATTTATAAGGGCTCTGGGGAGTGTTTCACAAAGACTAAGATCGACTTTAAGTTGGACTTTACTATGGCAGGCCATTCATGCCACTGGTTGCTCTCACCATCATGATATTTAGATAATATTTTTTCCTTCAATAATGAACTATCAAAAAAGGTAAATTCTGTAGATTTGTGACCATGATTTGTATGTCCCTTCAGAGTCCAATCAATACCAGTAAATGGTGAGTGAAAACAGTGGCATGAACAGCCTGACATAGTTAAGGCCAACTTAAAGTCGATCTTAGTCTTTGTGAAACACTCCCAGGGTGTACCAAGCCAGTTAGAATTGAAGTGACAGATAATCACTTACCATGCTTCTCCTCTTGCTCGACTGGCTGTGTCATACATCCTGATGATGTGCTGGACCGATGAGCCTTCAGGTCCATCCACCCTGCCTGTCTCAACAGCCTCCTGGGCTGCCTTCTGACACAGATCATCCAGGGGCAGTTTGTACGGCGCATCCATTGGGCCATTGTGTGGCTGGGAGATGTTAGGGTTGGTGGTGTCCAGGCCAAGCTGATGGGCCAGACAGCACACACATAGACCAAGGATCGTAGATGGAATACCAAGGAGCTGAAAGCAGAGGGAGAGGCGAACTAACTATTAGTACTTGGAGAATCATTACGTATGAGGCTATTGTAACTTCTATAGGACACAGGATTCTCGAGGATAATGATACTATGTTTAATATGAGGGAACAAGCATGAACTCACAAATACAAATCAAAACAATCTATTCTAAAAATTTAAGAAAAATGTTCACACCATTCTGCTGAACACATACAGTGTAATACATGTATATGAGAAAATGATAAATGTTGATGAGATTGCTGAAAATATTCCACAATCTTTCATAGTAATTTGAAAGTAAGCTGTAGAGAAGTACTCACTGCAGTCGAGATGAAATCCACAATGAATAGCTTGACTGGTCTGACTAGCATCTCATCAGAATGGATGAATCCGACCAGTTCATTGACATCTTGATAGACTAAGCCATTGTCAACCAATTCATGGGGTAAGCCTGCACAAAGGATACAAGTACATGTAGTTACATGAGTCATGATGATGGCTCAGTGGTAATATGTAACTGGGATGTCCTCATGTCTAAACCAAGTCTAGGCAATTTACTAAAGCCCTTTGGAAGAAAAAAAAATGTTCATCTTCGTCATTTGCCTTGAGTTCCTCTTTACTTGATTCTTAAACACTTTAATTTATCTCAAGAGAGGACATTGTAAGATTCTTCTTAATCAACAAGGATTGTTTATTTGTGCACAATATAGATGCTGTAGAAAATGTATGATTGCTCCTTCCTCAAAACCAAGCCAAAAATAAAAAGCGTTTAGAATAGTATACAAATAATAATGCATTTACATATGGTGAGAATTTTATAGAAACAATTTGTGCAATGTAAAATGGGATTTCATCTCTGCACAAACTACATTTACATTTCCTAACCAGTAAGATGTAATGGTTACCTGATAGAGCCAACGCATGGTTGCGACACTTGGTGAGACACTTATGAGCAGTCTCCAGCTGCTTCACAAAGAACAGGTCACTCAGCAGGGGTATAGTGTATTTACACACTGTCATCGTCTGTTAAGGATTGTCAAATTTACAATTCATTAACTACATAAAACAAAACAAAGCCAGTTTGATATACACAACACTATGCCAATTCCAAAGAACAAAACATATAGGCTACAGAACCTTGGCAGTTTTCTCAAGTGTACATCAAGAATATGCTGTACACCAGTTCACACTTGATTAAACTACTCATTAGTTGCCATTCATTAAGCTTTGAAATTATCTTTTCATTTACTGAACAGTCCATTTTCAGACTTCAGAGCATAAACCTCCACCAATTAATCACTTTCTGAATGCATAGTTCCTGCACAAATACTTGAGTCCATAAGTGTATTGACCAACCTTTGGGCTCACAGCTTCAAAGAACACTCCATCCACTTTGAACCACTCCTGAGGGAATGCGACCTTGTCCCAGCACTCTGTGAACTCCTCTAGACTCTGCCCCAGTCTCTTGAACAGGACATGGATGGCTGCTAGCAGGTTCTGGCCCATGGTGGGAGGTTGAGAAGCGGCTGGATCTGGAGTCTGGCTGTCATCAGCTGGTTTGTGTGTTCTCGCTGATGGATGCAAGAGACTGTCAAACTTGGCTCGAAGCTCCTTGACCATTTCTGAAGATGATGCCTGATGAAGAGATATAACCATGACAATATCAATATGAATGACACAGTAAAAGTCAGTAAAGTTTACATACTTTCACTGTTTGAATACATTTCTAGGCCAATGGCACTTCTCCACTCTATGTACATATGCGGTCACTATGCATATGATCAAGGTCTAAAATCAAATCAATTTACATCTGGTAGATGATATTTTGTATTTAGATATGAAGGCTGGTTTGTAAGGCATCAAATACAGAGAGAGACAGACAGGCAGAGACAGATAGACAGAGGCAGACAGAAGACAGACGAAAGACAGAGCCAAAGACAAAGACAGACAGATAGAGACAGACAGACAGACCAGATTGAAGACCTACCTGTGTGTTAGGTTCTGCTGCATGTAGATCAGTTTCTATCTGATAGATGATACTGTGTAGAGAAACCTGAGGGTCAGTGCACAGGGCATCCAGGGCAGCTAGAGAGGACACGACTGAGGCATCGCGGCTTTGGATCAACCTGACAGCCTCGGAGGCCACATCACTGAAATGATGTAGCAATGTCTGCAGAAAAGAACAGTTATGAATATATATTTGATACAGTTAAACATCTAGTGCTACAGAACCAGCTATCTCCAAGAGGCTCAAACCATATCTTAAAGCTTGGTCCTCTCACCCTCCTGGCAGCAATCATCCCAGGAAGACCCCTTGTCCCCTCACTGATTTTTCCAAACTGCAAAAGGTGTATTATTCAAACAATTGTCAGTTTCGAACAGCTATGGTTTATATACAAAATAATTTTTTAAATAGTTTAACATCAATATGATGGATGATGGAAACTGACATGATTGGTACAAAATTAATGTGTACAATACACATGTGCTTTTAGCATGATTCAATTTGTATATACAAAACATTTCTTGCATATACAAGATTACATGACAAAGTGAAATAATTATCTTTTAGAGCTGTTACAAGAGAATACAGAGTGTTGGTTGTAAAATTGCACAGAAAGTCAACAATTACAGGGTTCATACTCTTTCTCATAAATTTAATTCCATGACTTTCCATGACTTTTCTAGCCAGAATTCCATGACCTTTCCATGACTTTTACACATTTTTTTTACACGGTAGACTGAAAATTTGATCTCAAATCAAAGCGAAGCAAAGTGCATGTTTCAAGTCTACTAATAGAAAGGCAGCTTTTGTTATCTAGTTATTTCATCTGTTACAATTACATGTTATTTTTTCATCATATTCGATATGCACTGCTATATAATATTCTTACAATTACACATACATGTATTCATATCAACAATTGTCCATTTTTTAATGGCAATTTTCACTTCTAAAGAATACAAATTGCCTGTTCCTGGTTTCATGGACCACCATGATTCCTTCAATAGCTCTCCTTTGCATGTACAAGGTAACTACCCCCCCCCCCCCAAAAAAAAAAAAACAAAACAACACCAACACACAAACTCACACACATACCATCACCAATTTTGATTTCACCAACAAAACACAGTAGGCCTACTCACATCAGCTGATGAATTCTTGTTTCGCTAGCATTAAGCTGGTCAATAATTTCTGAATGAGTTTTTTCTTGAGACATCTTCATGTAGCTGTTTGAAAGAAATCCCTCTACACATTGCACCTGTCTGAATATTTGGTGGCATTGGTAACAAACTGTCCAAGTTCTTTAATAATTCTTAATGGCATTCAGCTGTTCATCAATCTGTTTCTGAATTACTTGTAACTGGGATGCCTTCTCCTTTGCTGTACGTCGGAGGCTGTTTGATTTGGAAATACAAGTCAATCTTCCTTGTGACTCTGCTTCCTCAGCATACTTGTCTGCTGAGGTGTGAAGACTTTTCACATCTGCTTGCAGTCTCATTTGTTTGGCCTTTAGTTCTTCCAAACCATCCATCAGTCCTTTTCTCTTTCCTTCTTTCTTTTCCTTTTCCTTTTTACGCCTCTGTTCATCGAGATAGATGTGGTATTTCTGCCTGCCTGCAGACGCAGCCAACATGATTGATTTGTCAATAGTCACATTCTTGATTCCTCCAACATACTTGATATGGTCATAAATGGCCCTCAATGATATCAGTGAGTGTCCCAGGAGATTGTCCTCTTCAACTTCGTTGTTGATTGAGAAACCTCTCTCAATGGAGGCTTGTCCATGGGACAAGACAAGCAACATGCGGACCAACTTTAAGAGGGTCGAATAGCGAGACTCGGACAGAAATTTGCACATTACAGAGTCCAATCTCTCTTTCTTTGGATCAAAGTCTCTCATCTCTGCACTTCTTGATGCCTCATCACATGCTTCTGAGTATTCTCTTAGGATATCGTCACATGAATCCTTAAGTCTGTGGGCATCACTAAGGGTGTTAAGCACCCTCTTCAGCTTTGCAGTGGAGTTTTCTTTGTCTTTTGCCATGTTCTTTGGACTCAAGCATCCTATATTTCTCACAAGTGCATACTTAAGCGGACATCGCTCAATGAGCTTCCGGGTCATTGCAGCAAGAAACTTCTTTGCTTGAGTGCGAAATTCCAGAACTTTCAGCTCACTGATGATATTTTTCGCCTTCAGATCTTTCAGCTTCTTCTCAGTGTAGAATCCAATGTCCAACTTGGCCAAGGGCAGCTGAATGGCCTCACTGCTAACATCTACCTGCATTATCTTGTAAGGAGAAGTAATGGTACTCCTGTCCAGCTTTAAAAATCGCTGCATAAGGGATGCAAGCATTCTAGTAAGGTCTTCAGCTAAAAAGGGCAGCATTGGTGCATCAGTCTGATAGTCTGTTAGGAAAGGATTGACCAGCTTTGCAACAGATATGAAGAAGTACAGTCTTGCTAAGAAATCAGTTATATGAGTACATTTTGAAACAGTTTCAAAGGACTTGTTCTTTGGGTGAGGGATTTTCTTCTCTTCTACTGCTTTAACATACGCACATACACTCTCCCAGATGCTGATTGCTCTCTCTGCAACAGGAAGGTTTTCCAGCCATCGGGTCTTGCAAAACTTAAGTGGCATGGTATGATCTCCAGTTATCTTCTGATAATCCTCTCTTCTGGCAGGGGAATCAGAAAACAGGTAATACAAGGATGATAGAAAGCTTTCCACCTCCCAGTCAGCAGCCTTGGCACCTGTCAGAAAAGCACCATTAACTATATGGAGCCCACATGAGCCTATATTCAGTATGGATTTGGTCAGGTCAGCAGTGTACTCTCGCGTAAAGTCATCATACATCTTCCAATTAACGTTGGGACCATCCATTGATATTTGCAGTAATTTTTCCAAGCCAACTGTGTGCAGAACTTTATTCAGTTCTTCCTTGAGGTGAACAGCTGAACCATGTCCGATGAACACAGACGTCAAGTAGCGAGTGCAAACTTCATTGTGTTGCCATGTTCTTATGAGGAAGTCCATCTGCTTTTTCTGGAGCTTCTTGTTGAGGCTTTCATCAAACAGTATCACATAGTGGTTTGATTGTTTTATGTTGTCATAAAGGAGGTCTTGCACATATGGGCCCAAACCAAACACCGTCATATACCGACATTTTGTTTCTGACAACGTGAAACCCTTAGCAATAGCTGAGTCCGGAAACATTCTTTGAAAGAGCTCACTGTTGTGCTGGCAAGAATGAAATGATAAATGATCCTCCACCACTTTCAGACACCAGAGTATTTCAGCTTTTAAAGTTTCCTCTCTTGCAGCAACAGGAATGGGAGTTGTCACTTTAGAGGTTGATGGCGCACAAGTACTGGTTGTTGCATCTGTAGACGTGATAGATACTGATGAACTTTCTGCACCTTTTGCCTTGAAGAAGCTCTTGAGTGAGAGAGTAGAATCTAGGAGAAAAGAAAAAAATGTCTATTAAAATAAATAAAATATAAATATCATCATTTGGTAAGATTTAGGGCCGAGTCAAAACGTTTAACTGCCGTTCAAACGACCATTAAAAGCATAAACGTTTTCCTATTTTGACAACCGTTTGACAGTATGGGGAAGGAAAAAAAAAAAAAATTCACGGCAACTTTTGGCCAATTGATGTAAGTCACTAAGACAAGTGGACTAATTTTTGACTCATTCCTTAAAAACATATTTTAAAGAAATAGAAAGGAGGAAATACTTCTCAAGGCAAGCAAACTGTTGGACCCAATTGTAAGTACAAAATTTAGTTTTATGATTTTTGGGGTCAATTTTAAGGTAAATTATTATTATTTTTTTTTTCTGCAGTCCACATACAGTGCCCGGTACAACACTGGCGTGTGAGTGCGGAGCCCCCTGGGTTAGCGTTCGGGCTGTTGCATGCAGTAACCTAGCCGGCCCGGCCCGGGGCCGGGGACGCTCCCGAACGGGCTGGTCGCAGTAAGCAGTAACCAATGCCTGCGAGGTGACATCGCATCGCTAAATAATCTCAAATCTTTCATTTTTATATAATTATTATCAGTCATTATTTGGATTCATGCTCAATAAAGGATCGGTAAAATTCACATTAAAAATGCTCACTTACGACGTTGTTGCTGTTGGAGGTTTGCTGTGTGTTTTTCACTCTTCTTGTGGCTCTTGACGGCTGCTTCGCCCATATTACGGACACTGAATTTACACATACAAACAGCACATCTAGCAGTCCCCAGATCGGAACTTTCTTTCAAAATCCAGCCACGGTAATCCGGGTGTTCTAACCAAGCATCCTTAAAATGACAATTTCCAGGCATTTTGAATATCACTTCCACAAAATTTGTAATGGTGAAAATATCCACGTGACGAGTTCCAAGGTCTGTGAAAATAAACAACTCCGTTTCATGAAGAATCAACACATGCACAAAAGTTTCAAAACACATGCCGTCGCGTCGATATATAGATCGTCAACGAGCTAGCGCTGCCAATTTGCCTTGTTGACACGTCAGTATTGTTCCTTTTTTATTTAAATAATGAAAATTAAAAAACAAATATTACTAATTTACTTTTTCCTCATTTATTGGAGAAGTGTAAAAATTGTAGTAGTCTAAGTGGTCGCAATTTAATGCAAAGCCAAAGTGCAATCGAGGCATTACATTCGTTCTTGGAGTGTCACATGTCGCGTTGGCACCATCATCATATGCACACACACACTGCACACGTACACGTGCGCTAGCTTGCTGAACTGAGCTAGCGCTAGCGAGCTCGCTCGCAAGCTAGCCATGTGCGCACGATGTGGACCGTACCGCCATACACTGACCATACACACGTAGTTCGTATCGTACACGTACACACCCACGTACACAGCGCTTATCCATCGATCATAGTGAACACATTCACAAGTACAATCAGTCGGTATGTTACGAATGAAAGAAAATACGAGAAGAAAATGGTTGAAATATCTCCATTTATTCACTTGTATAGTGAGAAAATACTATAGTTGTCCATAATTTTGATATTCCATGACTTTCCATGACTTTCCAATGGAAAAAATAATTTTCCATGACTTTCAAGGCCTTAAAAGCAATAAAGTAAAATTCCATGACTTTCCAGGTTTTCCATGACCCGTACGAACCCTGAATTAAGTATCTTGCATAATTAAATCTTACTAACTCTCCTGTGCTAAGACTTACCTGGAGCTGCTCATATACAGCAGTGACAGCTTTGAAGCAAGCGATCAGATTGGATAGAGAACATGGATCCTCACTCTCAGGCTAAAACAAAAGAGAAACAAACAGGTTTGGGGGTAAACTTGAAATTTTGTAAAGTTTACATGATTGGACATAATAGCTGTACATAACTCTTAAATTAATGTACTCTCTTCTATAAATGTCCATGTTTCCTTGTTTCCACATTTGGTTGTAGAAATATTATTGAAAGCACAAAAAGAATTTGACAAGTAATGTGATTGTTTCTGGAGCCCATGGGACTATGAAACTGTTGGGGGAAATTTAATTTACTACTGCTTCCTTCACAAGATTAAAAGCACTAACTACTGGTGGATTTAACAAAGACAACATGACCTCACTCTTCTGCATATATATGTGATCTTAGAAAATATATGGAAAGATAAGGGACTAAGGACGTGTAAACCCATACATCTACATGCACACAGTCTGCAATAAATGGTTGTTGAAAGGCATGGACATGTGACATCACACCAACCTGTATGCCTAATGAGATGATACCCATAACTGCCTCTATGTTGGTGAGGGTCCCACTCAATTCACTCAGGAACCAACGACCATTGCGTGATGAGTACTCAGGGGACATGTTGGCTGTGGAAATAAAAATCAAACCATAATTAAGTGATCACCTTAGGAAAGCATATCATACAAATTATTTCTTTTTAAACTCTAATATTACTCTAAAATTGCTGGAGTTTTTCTTTTTAATGTTACCGAGAAAGTGACAGTATTTTTCACAAATTTCCTTCAATCATTACAAACTTCATAAAAATTAAAAATATGTCATAAAATACAATTTAAATCCTTTCTGCACTAGTTTAGCCAGGAGGGATAAGACCTCACTGCATGGTCACTGACAGGTGGTTATCTCATCAAATCAGCTCTCAATTAAAAGGGATCATGGGCGACCAACGGGTACCGCTTAGGCATTGTTTGCTATATAGAGGGTGTAAGTAGCTACAAGTCGTGCAGTCCTGCTTTAAGTCTATCAGGAGCATGAACAAGAGAATAGTCAATGATAGGTAAGAACACCGTACTACCCACAGCATGTGTAAGTGCTTGCCTGCATAAGTACTGTCTGTACTTACCTGACATGGAGTTTTCCATGAGGAGTGTTGTGCTAGCATACATGTGAAGCAGGTTCATCATGTTGAGGGTTACTAGAGGGGGAGCTGCACTTTCATGTTCTAAAGGGAAACAACAACGCAAAAGAAGATAGTCATGTTTAATAGAATGAGATGCTTTTTCATTTTCATTAAATAAATCTTTAAAGCCTTTCTGCACTACTTTGGCCAAGAGGGATTAGACCTCCATACCTGGTCACTAGCAGGTGGTTATCTCATCAATTATTAAACATAAGAAAAGGGGACCATGGGGGATCAACAGGTACCGCTTAGGCATTGTTGGCTGTATAGAGGGCGCAAGTAGCTACAAGTAGTGCAGTCATGCTTTAACTCTCCATTCAAATCTGATTTCTTTCTTTTTTCTTTCTTTTTTTTTTTTGCTTTTCTTTTTTTCACATCTTTGCTTGCTTGTACCATAAACAGGATTTAATCATGATGTGAAGAATATTTAACCCAGGATTCATCACGTTTTCTATAATCCAATTTACTAAAACAAAGTTGCTGTCTGATATTTATGGAGAGCGGTCTCAAACTTTGCAGAATAAAGAACTGACTTTTATTGGTTAACTGCACCTGTTAACCACACAATCCAACATATTTTTATTTTTTGCATTTATACCTACACGGTAGTACACAAAAGGTATGTATTGCAAAATAGAATATTGATCCCTTCAAGGTGTTCGATATAAAGTGTAAATATGAATTGCCTTATGGACAGCCTCCTAAAAAGTAAAGAAGCAATAGTTATGCCTAACCTTGGATCCAGTGTGTAAGTTCTGCCATGCTTTGTGTCATCTGACCCTCCGCTGTTTCTCGTTCAATGCTTCCTATTGTCCAGTCAGCGGTCAAGGTTAGATTGGCACCTGCTGTAGCAACCAGATCCTGAAGTTGAATCTCCATGGCGACCACCTCCTGGATTCTGGTAGGCGTTGTTGGAGCGTAACAAGACTCAAAACTTGCTAGGATGTCACCACACCTGGTAAACATGATGGTCACAAAATCAAAGAAATATGAATCATTGAAATAACAGAAATATCAGCATATTAACAGAATACCAGCAAAGAGGCAAAGATCTACTACTTACCAACTGAACGATTATTATCTATTCTACATCTATATTGATTGGTATGAGAGAAACTTTTAATTTTTTGACATGTTGCTGTTGTAACTTTATATTAACTTTCACTTAAGCCATTCAATACAAGACACTGTTAATCATACTAGAAGACTTCACAATCATAAAATCAAATAATTTCTCATTTGGTATTTAACCACGAATGAGCATTTAAAGTTGGGTTCTAATGATATAGAAACTTACATGTCTGATGTGAAGGACTGCAATAGCTGCTGAAGCCAATGATGCCATACAAACGTACGAGTCATCTCATAGAAATTTGGAGGGAACTGGAAAGAACAAGATCAAACGAGTGATAAAATCCAACATACATGTACACACATAAATATACCAAGTACAGAGTACACACAGACTGAAAATGTCATTTTTATTACTACGCTAAGCAATATTTCTACCAATATCATCTGTTTCATCATCGATTCAATCATACAAATTCCAGTCATTAACATCACTATACCAAACATCATCACCATAAGTGTACTTTCATTGATCATAATCCTCATCACTGTTGACACCACCATCACCATCATCCTCCTCCTCCTCTCACCACCACCACCACCACCACCACCACCATAGACTTGCTACTTACCAGAGTGACCATGCTATAGTATGCTTTGAGGATCTCCACACATGATACCACTAGCTCTCTTCTCTGCTTTAGTACCTTCTCCATCTCACTCTCAGCTTGTTCACACTGTGAATACAAAAAAAAGATATATAAACATGTGATACTTCTATAACTATGATCCCTAAATTGACATAATCAGAACCAAGTTTGTGACAATACATTGCTCCACTAAAAGGAAACTGCTCAATAAATTCAGTATAAAATAGGGTGTTAAAGAGCAAGAGAGTAAACAGTGTCAGTTCTAAAACACATCATTGCATTTGTTCATCAAGGGATCCATTGTCAGTTGTAAATCTGCAGCCAGAGGTGGCCGTAACACAAATCACTACAAACATAACATCACTGCTTAAGACAATTGATATGGCAAACTGGGGTAATGAGGACATTTCTCCTGCACTGATCTTGTAGTAATCACATATTTTGTACTTATGTAACAGCATTCCTACCAAGAGTTAAACAATAAACAGTACACTACCTGTTGAATGATTTGTGCTTGCCCAGCATTCTGCAAGAAACCCACAGCAGGCACATAGCTTGGTGCTCCTTTGGTTTAAAAAAAATCATAAACAAATGAAACAGCATACAAACTGGTGTACATTCAGACACAGCAAATTCAGAGACTCGAGTAGAGTACTTGACACTCCCATTACCAGATAAAGACAACATATACATGTATAAGTATATCATTAAATGTCAACATCATTCAATTTCAATGTCCATCCCCTCTGTCTGTATTTGTGTGGCAGGAGGTCATGAACTAAATAAATCCTGGTCAAAATGTTAAAATGTTGTTGTTTGGAAAGCAAGGATTTAAAATTAGATATGGAAGTTATAACCTATGTACAGATGGAAGCATGTTAAGGAGATGGGGTCAAAGAAAAGTCAGATCGTAACAATGCATACTTCTAGAACGGTATGTCTGCTGTCGTTGCATCCATTACGCTCTTCTGGCAGACAGAACAAAGCGGTAACCAATCGATGACCAAGAACTTACCCACATCAAGTGGCTGCTCAACCTGTTGACTGAGTGCTGCTAGATCTTGGATGGCTTCTAGAGCTATCTTGTGCTGGATGTGATGGTTGTACAAGTCTTGGAGCTGAGCCTCTACTGATTTCACCGCGTTATCTCTAGCTTCCAGAAGCTGTCTGTGGTCACGATACCTTGAGAAACAATAATAATAATAATAACAATACTCAGTTTTCATAAAGCGCTTGTTACAATCACTAAGCGCTTCCAAACTTGAAGATTATTAGCCCCACAAACACATACTATGAAGACTACAAGCATAAAACGGATGCTCTTTTATGCCAGTGATTTGGGAATTAAGTGGCACTTAAATTTAAATCAAATTGGAGTCTTCATTGCTGTCTTTCCTTTCAACTGTATACTAAGGGTTTGAGTGCATTTAATCATTAGTTGTACATTGTCAATTTGTGAAATAAGACATTATATGAGACAACCACATTGTGAATCAGCCAAACAGCATGACTATTCTTTCTTTGTGATGTTAAATAATCAGATAGAATTCTCTTTATTGTACAATTAACTAATTTATCATCATAATTGCATTTCTATGGAGTTTCATACATAAGTTTTCCAAAGATATACATGCAGTTATTCTTTGCTGAATCACTGGAGTCCATTTTCATGAACAATAACCAGTTTTTGCCTCACCTTTCATTGAGTGTATGCAGTGAATGGTCCTTATCTCGGAGTGCTGTCTGGGATTCCTGTAGGTGTTGTTCAAACCTCTTACCCTCATTCTCCATCTCTCTCTTCTCTTCAACATCTTCAAGGAGAGTATCAAGATGTTCCTCTAGCTTCACCATGGCGTCCAACATGTCCTCTCTACACCAAAATAAAATCATTCAAATTGTATGTATTGGTGCTCCTGTCACAAGTCAAAAAGCCATTGCATTGCACTAATGTCATTTGGCAAGACACTCAACCCAGGTGATGTAAATGGGTACCTGGCAGGAATTAATTCCTTGAAATGCTAGAGCGCCGTAATGGCGGCCGGGCTAAAGCCAGGGTAATAATCTCCCTGTGCGCCTCAGAATAGATAACTAGATCGATGTCATTATTCAGATTCTGTTGACAATTTATGTCACAGTAAGCATATTTATAGTTTTCATTGCAGTTTGGAAAATTTATCAAAAACTGGATGTTGATTCAATATAATAAAAGTTTTATGAAGATTTAAGCTTGACAGTCTGAACCTGGACTGTGGATGTTTAAATCATAGTTGTTTTAATATATTTAACACTACAACCAAATAATTGCTGAAAATTGTATTCACTACTGCATGAATGTTCATATCCATGTCCGATAATAGTTAAAAAATAATATTGTGCATCAAGTATGTCAAATGTTTTCGCACTATCAAACTGTTCAAAATTAGAAATTGAGCAGCGCTTTAACATGGGGTGTCAGCTTTAAACAATCACTACTTGATCAATTTCCCAATTTTAAAGCCCGTCTATACTAGTTTGGCCAGGGGGGACTAGACCTCCCTGCAAGGTCACTGGCAGGTGGTTATCTCATCAACTCAGCTCTCAATTAACATATGAAAAGGGAGATCATGGGGGACCAACAGGCACTGATTAGGCATTGTTTGCTATATAGAGGGCGCAAGTAGCTTTAAGTAGTGCAGTGGGGCTTTAAAAAGAGACTCACTGATTCTGAGTCCAAGCCTCTCTCATCTCAAACACCCTAGACTGGAAGAGACTCCTTGTGATCTCCACCTCCACCTCCTTCTTGTTGAGTCCCATCTCAGGAGCAGCAGGGTTGACCTGACCACCCCCGTAGATCCCTCCAGCGAACCCTCGATCATTCCCTGTGGTCCAGTCTACCAGGGGGTCATACACAAAGGCTTCTAGCAGGTTCAGGAGGGTCTCGCGACCTTTGCGCATGATCTTCAGAACTTCCTCTGACGATTGACGGAAGTTACCCTATAATTCAAGCAAATAATAAGTGTTTGTCATTTTTTTTTTATATGAAGGCATTTAATTCAACAAATAATATATCATGGTTTGCAATCAGTTCCTAAAAGACCTTTCAACATACTTGATAGCTCACCCTTTCCTAGCAGTGACATGGAAATAGGTGAATTTGCAATTCAATAACACAAAGGCTTAGAAAATGGACAAGTCCACCACACGCATTACAAATTCTTGGGATAAGACCCTAGCCTTATAATCAATGTGAAATTACTGCAAATACGATGATCAAATGGAGGAAATAGTAGGCTTTATATAATCAATAATAATATAGCTTCTTTTTTCTTGGGACACCTAGGTATACCAAAATACCTAGGTATACCAAAATACTTTTGAATTTATTTCACTTGTCCTGATGACGATGATATCATACTGACTCATTAAATATGCTTGTGTGGAAAAACCAGCAACGAGATACAAGCAACTAAAAAGAGGCATGTATATATATTTCTACGAGTTGAGGGCCCTTTCTTACCTCAACTCCAGTGATTCCCAATGCAGCTTGGACATTCTGAGTCATCCTGAAAGGCACTCTCTCTGGAACTCGCAGGTTCTTCCCTTTCTCAAAGCACACATTGTAGTCAATGTGAACAACCTGGTGAAGAGGTAAGAAAACAAAACACTTGCTTTTGTTTCAAACTCTCAGAAATATGATACATGTAATCACTGACAAAGATTAAAAGCCTACAGACAACTTTTGTGAGCGCGATATATTATAACAATTAAAGTATACATGTCTGTATTAAAAGTCTTATGTACAGACATTCAAGAACGTGCACAGGTGTACTTCAGTGATTAACTCTTTCCTCATTATGGTTTAAATAAGTTTTTCAAATGGTAACACCAAGTGAAAGTATATTAGGACCATGTCAATTTGGTGACGAGCCTGACATGTCAGTGGATCTCAAGGGGACTTCAAATTAAAAATGCTTGATGATAACAATTGTACACGTCATAGTACACAGATGCAGATGATAGGTTTTAATTACACATAAAGCCAACCTGATGAAAATACAGAAAAGTGTGAAGCATTTGGTCCAATCTAGATAATAACAGGTTCATCTCTTACCTCACCAGTCACAAAATTGACCAGTACATTGTCCAAATGTCTGTCGCCCAGACCAATGATGTAACCGATCATAGACATGACAGCTGTAGATCGACCAAACGCTTGTGTCAGATGCCACCATTCAGATGCACTGCCACTGCTACACCACAGCTCCCTGTGAACAGAGGTGATGAAAAAAATCACATTTTATTTGATATATGTAAAAGGAGGGTAGGGTAAATTTCTAAATATCCTTTCACATTTTTACATTTTGCCACTGCATCTTTGTTTTAATTGGGTATTTGGTTTTCATTCTCTTTCTTAATATCAATCTATTTCTTGTGCTCTATTTCAATGTCCCCTCTCACAATACTTGCTTTTCTCCATCTTTCTCCTCATCTCTCTGGCACTTCATCTCTCTGTCCTTTTTTTTCTCTCTTAATCTCTTTTTCTCTCCCTCTCTCTTTCTTTCTTTCTCTTTCTCTATCTATATATATGTATCTATTTATCTCCCTCCCTGCCTCCCTCCCTCTCTCTGCGTTTTCCTTTCATACTTACTTTGCTAGCAGATAGTCTGGTGTGTCAGCCATCAGATCTTGTAGGACCTTCCTCATCATGCTCAGTGGCCAGTCCTTACGAGGGGTTTGGCTGGACAGACCCTGACAACACAAACATAAAGCACATTTCATCAGAAGTAGGTCTATAGCCCAACATGAAATGTGAATTGTTTAGTAAAATTGTATTACATAGTTAAATATATAACACTCTATACACTGCTGTCTTCTGTTTTTCTTTTAAAGCCCCACTGTACTACTTATAGCTACTTGCATCCTCTATATAGCAAACAATGCTTAATCGGTGACCATTGGTCCCCCATGATCCCTTATATCTTATGTTAATTGAGAGCTTATTTGATGAGATAACCACCTGTCGATGACCATGCAGGAAGGTCTAATCCCTCTTGGCCAAACTAGTGCAGTGGGGCTTTAAACGATACGTAGGATAACGCCATATTGCAGTTAATATACACATCATTGTCTTTTACTTTGATTCTGAAATTCTTTCAACGACTCAACATTATCCCCTTTAGAAACATGCATTGACGAGCAAAGACATTAACCCGCTACAAGGTTTTCCTTGCCACTGCTTGCACTTGCGTCAAGAGAGGCAAATGTAGCATAAACACTATCGATGGGCCCTGTTTCACAAAACTCTCCATCAATGACAAACATTAAATTTCTATGACATATTTGCTCTCAGTCAATCAAATGCTACAATATCAATAGCTTATAACAGTTATTGGAACTTGTTAATGATAACCAGTTTTATGAAACAGGGCCACGGCATGTGAAGAACCATGGACCATGTGACTGGTAGGAGATAAACACAGAACTAGTTTGAAAGAGTGCTTACCTCTTCTTTGAGAGCCTTTGTCACTTTGTTGTAGAAGATCTCACTAGGTTTGGCCACTGGAGGAGGGTTGCTATTATCTCCAACCTACACACAAAGTAACAATCATAAATATTATGCAAGACACATTCATACATCTTCACCAAGAAAGGTAGATCATGGTAATCAAGTGGTAGTGACAAACTGACTCCACTGCTGTTTGAGAAATACTACCATGCATTTTCATGTATCATCATAATCCCCATCATTTATTGAAGTCAGCATTTTTCCCTCTTACGAGGGGATACTAACTTTTGCATCACGATGACATACCCTCCCTTCACTTCTTCTTGTCTCGAGCATCCTCCTCATTTAGGCCAACCTTACTTTCTCACATCTTTCCATAAAATGTTCAGTCTTCCTTTCCCTCTTATGCCATCTACTCCCAGATCCCACACTCTTTTTTCCAAAGAAAACGTTAAAATGATCAATGTTGATTAATTTAAGAAGAACTGCAAGAATGTATGATGTGTAATGACGATAATTTCTAGAAATAAAGTGAAGATAACCTTAGAAGCAGCAGCTGCAGCCACAGCCTCCCTCTGTTGCCATCTCTTGTAGAGGCTAAACAGAGCTGAAGCTCCATCAACCCATGAAATAAGACCAGATCGTGGTCCAAGAGGCGTCACAGAGTAGTGGCAGGCATGGAACAGGGGTGCATCTTGTCTGTAGAGTGTAGGAAGTAAAAAAACATTGATGGCATCAACCTTCAATTCTGCAATGACCCCACAGATTGGTTGGGATAGAGAAATTCAAAGTACTGATACTGCTAAACAATTGCAACCCCATGTAACTAAAATAATTGTTATGCATGTGATTTAACACAAATCAAGAAGATATGGCACTAGATAGTGTTGCATAATTTCAATTTACCTTCTGGCACGAATTTATGTGTTTACAAATATAATCTCTAAGACTCAAACAAAATAAAAAAATTCAACATGGCAAAAAAAGAGCAGCATGTGACTCTTGTACTTAGTGAAATCATCAAAAGCATGATTAATCTCATATCATTTCACAGACTGCTTCATTGATTTTACAACACCCAGCAAACCCATCACAGTAAACTGAACTTTGTCATTTACCTTTTGTTCCTGGCAAACATACAGTTGACGATGGACAAGAACTGCATGATCCTCTCATCCAGGTGAAGGTCTTCCAGACCCTTGAACAGGTAGGTGTACTTCTTACCATCAGACCCCAGGAATACAAGCTTCTTAGGTTTGGTCTTGGTAGGAAGGATGTTCACTGTATTGATGAAGGATTCTATGTGCACAACCTGTAAGACAGAATACAACAATATTGCACTTACATGAATCACAATTATCACTCTATATGCTACAGTATCAAAGTGAATGTAAACTTGTTCCCATTTCTATTTTACCTGAGATCCTGATAAAAACAACAAAATATTTTAATAATAACCTCAGAACACATGACTCTCAATATCAGATAAGACTTTGTAATGGATATTTAATACTTGACTTTGGTTCAAACGTACAATATTATACAGAATCACTGTTAAGTAATACTGTGCGTCAAGTAGTGCCCTGAGGATGTTTTCTGTGCCACTCAATTTTCAAACATGTCTAAAAGATGAACTTTAGAGTCAAACACTCTATTTCAATTCCTTGTCTTATCACTACCCGGTCATAAAACATCTTCTAGGAAACACACTGCACATTGCAAACATTTTCCGATTTCCATAGAATACTGCAATTCAAATGTAAAGTTGTACAATTAAGTCTTGGGGAAGATACCTCACACATACATCAACAGGACAGTTATAGACAAGCCACATGTTAGTGTACATACCTGATTGGTATGGCCGACATGGCCAGGAAGAGGAATGGCAGTGGACTTCATCTTGGCCAGCTTGGGACTGATCTCACTCATCTGAAGTAAGAACGTGGACCGACGATTGGAACGCTGTTGAAGCATGTGACCAAGCTGTTATAGGTAGGGAAGCCAGATTGAATTTAGCCAGAATTGTATGAATATCAAAGAATAAACAACTTGATATGACATAAAGCAAGTATTTACAGAAATGTACACTGGTTCTACTCAACTGAAGAGGATATTTTTCACAAAAAGGGGCTCCTCCCCCTGTTCATTGCCTATGATATCTTGATGAAAATTTGTTGCGCTCTAAACTTTCGTGACTTAATACATCATGGATCAGACATATACATTCTAACAGATATAACACTCATATACTGTACACAGTGAAGGTTGGCCAAACTTTAACATATGAATATTAATTTGAATTACTTTGAGCACTGGTAAGGCATTAATCCTCATTACCAAGTCCCTCGGAGAGGACTTAAGTGGTCGGTCCCTTAGTTGCTTATTTACAAGCATACACATGCCTTCTTAGCAGTCAGGTAAAACAAACTAACGTTCTGATGGATATGTCAATAATGATTTTCATGACAGTGATTATGACAGTGAAAAATACATTGTTAGTGATAACAATAATGATAATGAGAAAAGCAAACTATGACAGATGATTGCACGGATGTACAAACAGCATTGTGGTTCTCTTTACCTGTTTGAAAGGAGCCCATGATTGTTGAGGCTGTTCAGGGTTGTCAGGATACTTGAGTGACTTGATAGCACACTCCAGCTGATCCTTGAAGGCCTCTTGGAATGCTCTCTCATTGGGTGTGTCTGCTGGCTTGTTGGTGATCCCATGCAACTGCTCCAATGTGAACACAATCTACACAACATACAGAGAATGATTAGATTGCGATACAACTTTGATTAGCTCTAAAAGAAATGCATGATATCGTTGCAAAGAGGAAGGCTCACTGATCAAATTTAATACCTTCCCTCTTCAAAATATGTTATGGGCCTGCAGTAATCTTCTCTCAAAAATGTTAATCCAGATTTTCTGCCTTCAGCAGTCCTCCGTAGAGCATCAAGATTTGTGACATCACATGTGAGACACAGGTGGCCACAAAGCATGTTATGCCTTTCCATAAATATCTATATGATTTTTCAGCAAATTGATCGTGTTTTTCAAGAGAAAATCTTTCCATTCATTTATGATTTGTCCATAATTATCAGTTGTCGTGAATTTTCTTCGGGTGACTACTTTAAGGAAATTATTTTGAAAGACAGCATTCAAATTGTACATTTTTTGAAGAAGCTATGCATGAAAACTTTAGTTACAATTTACAACATATGCCATAGTATTTCTTCAGACTATGTGCCTCTCATTCTGCTAAACATCTCTACAAACTGTTTCCCTTATACTTCTATTCTTTCTAGTTTTTACAAAGTCATCAGAATTAATCTTTTAGGTATAGTACTCACTGGTTTCATGATGGCCTGGTGTTTCTTCATCATTAAAGCTCTCTTCTGTCTATGCTCTAGACTCTCATTCCTGGAAACCCTCTTAGCTTCTTCTTCAAGTTTCTCCAGCCGTCTGAGGGTAAAACAAAGTCATTAGGAATAAGAACATCATTAGCCAGTTCAAAACAGTAATGTTTATCCCCACAATGAATATCAGCTTGTTTTGTACAACGGTGAAACTTGCAGAAAATATAGCGTTTAGGAAAAATCTAGGGCACATGGACAAATGGGACAAAAAATGGATTAAAATGGGGGAAATGGCCCTCAGATCACACAGCTATCATGATATAAAAAGATAAAACTGCTACAGGATTAAGAAATTTTAATATCTAATGTATGAGCAGCAACAGTACTAGGGAAAGGTTAATTGGCACCAACAAGCACTAAACAGAGTTTGGAGACATTTGGAGACAACATGCTGAGGCCTTCATCCTGCAGTGGATCGATAATGGCTGAAAAAGTAAAGTAGGAGATAAGTATATGAGACAAACCTTGTAACATCTGATTGTATCTGTGTGAGAGTCCCAATCCACACCTCCTCCCACAGCAGTGTTATCCGTCTCAGTTCCTGAACAAGCACCTCCACCTGAGACACCAGGTTAGCATCATGCTGGGACAGCGTAGACACCAGGGCCCTCAAGCAATCCTCAAGCAGATGCATTGAGTGATCATGCTGCTTCTGCTCCTCTTCTTCCCCTTCCTCCTCCTGTACCCCCTCACCATCCTGCTCCTCTCCTTGCTGGCTGTCTGTGCCGCCCTGCAGGGAGGGCGACAGCAGGCTGTCCTGGAGGGATGAGGCTACCTGAGGGCTGGTTAGGAAGTTGGTGATTGAACTCGGCTGGGCTGTAAACAAGATTGGGAGTTAATGATTGTCGATAACTGTGTCATATTTTAAAATCAATCAATCCCCATCAATCTGTTGTTTAATTTTAGAGATACCTTTTATTCATCACTTCTTATTTATAATTGTTTTGTAACTTGTTCTGTAAGCTATTAATCAGGCTGATGAGAAAATAATTAGAGCTTTAGAAATGAAATAAAAAAATGAACAAAAATGGTCAGTGTACATAGGCCTCTGGGCAAACTGGGACAAACATAATTTTTAAGCAGTGAGCACACGAATGCACACATGCAACTGACATAAATGTAATGGCTTATTGATGTCAACAGACATATTTCTTGGAAAGGTGGATGTCTCACCAATCTGGTTTTCCACCTCTGCAGTGCCAGTATCAGGGCATCCTACAACAGCCTGGTAGACTATGAGGTGAGGCGCGTCCTTAGCGATACGACACAGAAGATCAGAGATACTCTGACGGACATAGGCCTCTGGGTGGTTCAAGCGAGAGAACAGCTGTGGGATGATACCTAACAAAGGCAACAAATGTGATATAAAACAAGTTGGTGACACAGGATGATATATAAACAAGCGTAGTGGAAGGGCTCTTGAACTGTTCAGATGGCAACAGGTGGAAAATCACCTTTAACGTGGATAACAAGATGAGTTGTTGTGCAATGTATTGTTTACATTACTTTGACTCTGATGCCTAAAGGAAATATAAAATATTAAGAGATGTCTCTAAAATAACACATATAATCCCCACTATTTAGGAATTAGTAAGACATATTCATATTTGCCAACCATTTAATTCCATTTGAAATTGCTATCGAATAATAGGAACACTGAAGTTATGCAATGAAAGGATGGACTTCCCACACTTTAAAAAACAACTCTGCTTGAAACGTGAATCTTAGGACATCCTGAAAGCACAAGGAGCTGAGCTTACTTTTCCATGGTCCTGTAGGTGTGGTAGCGAATCCTTCTTCCAAGACATCCCTGAGCTCAGAGGCATACTTGACCAGGAGTCTCAGCAGGCGCAGAGTGGCAGTGATGTTGTTATCTTCCTGTCTACCAAACCCTACGATGCTCTCACTCTCAGTTCCGTGTCCTCCACTCCTTCCTCCTCCTCCTGCACTGCTGTTGTTCAGGTTCAATTCAGTCTTGGCATTGTTGCTGCTGGTGTTGAGCTGGGCTATAGGGCTGTCCCTACCATCAAGGGCATTCTATTTCGATGGTCAGAGTATATAAAGTGCAGACAAAAAAACATTAATGGATGAGAGAAGGTACAGTGGTACAAATCTACAGGAACTTGTTACATGATTTCCAACTACCACAAGAAATAATGCTTCCTTCTCTAGAAAAGCCTCGTGCACATGAGCTATACATCTGAAGTCAATTTCAAGCTCAGTCCAGCTTTATTGATTACATGACTGAATGAAGAACAGGATGAAGAGTTTCATAATAATATCAGCATTTCATTTTGAGCTCTGTGTTTAAAAAATTTACACAATAAAACCTGTAACTTCATGAACTGGCAGACTCTCATGCACTATAGGTGACAGAAGACAACAAATATTTTGCAAGTGCTTATAACTTCCTAGTTGCAGCATTCCAAAATCATTGTTTTCAAAATCATATCTCTCCCACATGAATCCATGTGACTCTTTTCCAAATGTACTCTTGTTTTGTATTCAATTATTATCTTTGTTTTTGCCGAATAAATAATAATAATAATAATGAATGAAAATCAACTCCTTACCCCTCCATTGAGCTTGAGAAATGTGAAGTAGCTCCAGACAGAGAGACGATAGTGAGAGAAGATCCTTCTACACACGGCTCCCCATACATCTAGGAGGTGCTCCATGACAGAGGGATCCATGTCAGCCAGTGACGGGCACACCGATGTCAGCAGCAGTCTTGTGGTCTCTGAACCATCATGGTAGTGAGCCTGTTGAGAAGACAAGGTTAGAATTAGAATAAACCAAACTGAAGATGACAAAGAAGATGCAATAATAATAATAATCTTTTTAAGTCCACTCCAAATTTTATTAAACCGAAAATGGAAATTCTTTTTGCCCAATTGATCGTGAGCCCAGCAGCCACTGAGCAGCACCAGATCGACGTTGCTCGTAGAAGATGACATCGTGCATGTTGCAAATTACATTAGAATGGCATAATTCTTACAATGTGAAATGAGTTCACTATTCAATTTCGAAAGGAGTGAGGAAGGTGGTCATAAAAATTGTAATATATTAATCATTCTACAACTAGATTTACATAAACTATGCCAGACCAAATGTTGAAACACCCTTACCTGTCCTTGTTCAACTTTATTTTCCTCCTGCATACTGCTAATGGTGCAGTGAGCCTGATTTAAAAGTCTCAAGATCTTATCAGTCTCTTACTCTAGTCATTTTCCTAATTTTAACCATGGACCCTGATCCTAGTCCTAAAGTAAACATAACAATTACTGATTGTAACCCTAACCCAAACCTCTCGACAGTATAATTCAGAGAAAATGGTAACAGAGCTAGCGTCAGATCACCCTTACCTGTCCTTGTTCAACTATGTCTTCCTCCTGCATACTGCTGATGGTGCAGTGGGCCTGACTTAGAACTCTCAAGATCTCATCAGTATCAGCATTAGTGATTTCAGCTGGTAGCACAGTAAGGACAGTAGCCTTCTCACCCTCTGTTAGAACCACTCCTTTGTCCTCACTGAAAGAAACAATATTGGTTCTCTGGTCAAAACATCCATATGACTATCTTAAAGCATATCTGTACTAGTTTACAGGAGGGATTAAGACCACCCTGCATGGTCACTGACAGGTGGTTATCTCATCAAATCAGCTCTCAATTAACATAAGAAACAGAGGATCATGGGGAACCAATGGTCACCGATTAGGCATTGTTTGGTATATAGAGGGTGCAAGTAGCTATAAGTATTGCAGTGGGGCTTTAAATTAATATAAAATACAAGGCATTATTCAAAAACAAGCATTAAAACACTTTTGTCCATGAAAGATGCCTCTAATCAATTAAATTATATGAAATATATGAACAATACAATTTGGGGTCCAAAAATCATATCAGAAGATTCAAAAAAAATTATTTCATATGAGCTTAACATTCTCCCCAATACCAACAAGTTCTTTTGTCTTACCTGGGACGTGTCACATCCGACATATTATAAAACTTACATTTCTTGGATTCCACTCAGTTTCATAAACATGCAAATAAATGTGTTAATAAATGTACATTGGTGTAAGAAAACAAAAACATCAAGAACATTTAATCTTAAATCTTTTAATCTTTTACTGGATAATCCATTGGGTCTCTACTGATTAGTACCCTTCTTTTTAAATAATACCGGTACTTGGCACTATGACACTCATCCAAACTCTCTCATTCTTTCTACTTTTCACGTGCGCCTCGGAATATCATTGTCTAGATAGATGGCGCAACATAAATGCCTATTATTATTATTATTTATTCTTTGTGCCCCTGTTTTTCTCAATGTCTAAACTTCCTGCCTGTGGTTTGTTGATCAGTCTCCCTCTTAACCATTACGCTTTAGTGAATGCTGTTTACCTTGCCATATCTACAGCCTTGCGTCCCCATCGGTAGCACCAGGAGGCGAGAGAGGACCATGCTTTAGGCAGACTGGGTGACTGCATGATGCCAAGATGGAGGAGTCTTCCACATACGGCATCTGTGTCACTCACTGCTGGGCTCTGTCCTATCACTATATGTATAAAGAAGAGATGTCATTATCCAAGTGGACACTGCTTGTGTATGACACGATGACTCAATACGACCCCCATATTAAAGATGATGATCTATAAAATGATTGATGATCCTACAAAGAAATCAGTTACGATTTATAAAGAAAAACAAGTGTAGGTACATATGGGAATATAGTAGGAATTCTACAAGGAGCTCACAGTTTGTTACATCTGCTTCTCTGACACCATAAGCTGCTAGCCCATGTCCCTGCAAGGCTCCATGTTTCTCCATATCCAAGAGCATACCCAGGCTACAGCTCAGCTCAGGGACATCACTCAGGTCAAGCCTATGGCACTGCTTCAGGTATGGCAGGGCTGTCCTGTAGTCAGCGGTCATCCACTTGACCATGCTCAGCAGAGACCTAGCACAGAGGTCAGTCATATCGGACACATCGGAAGGGAGAAGGACATACTTAGAGTTTGCTGCAAGGGTAGCATAGTGGACAACGGTCTTGGACAGCTGTGCCCAGGACTCTATCTGGTTGCCCATGTAGTGCAAGAGCTTAGAGCACTCTCGCTCTGTGCGTAGGACATCCAGAGATGTGACGATCTGAGGGTCGATGGTAGAGAGGGCCGTCAGGAGAGGCTGGGAAGGCTTCTTAGCATGGATCTCAAGGTTCATCAACTTCTTGTCTAGATTCTGAATGAAGCAATAAATACAACAAAATGCTAGATAACAAATTACCCAGCAAGAAATAAGATTGTCTCTGATAATAGAATTTTCCCATGCTCTTGTAATAGATATATATTTCAATAAGCTACATTTACATTTAAAAGGGAAGACAATACACAAATATGGCTTTAAGCTTTGCTACATTAATCAAGTGGAAATTTGATCAGTAGGAAAAAAATAAATTGTATGAAGGGTAGATATTTATTGGATGAACATCAGATAACAATTCTAGAGGGAAACATTAAGATCTTTTATGAACTGACCTGTGAGTTCACTCCGTCCGGAGCTATGAAGTCTAGCTGTTCCAGGAGTATCTTCTGTGCAGCCAGGAAGTTGGTTTGTTTCCTAGCAAGGCGAGATGTAGCTAGTCGTAGCTTTGACAGGTGGCACCTCAGCTCAGAGATGGTCCCTAACAAATCAACAAGAATTAAAATGCAAGTAACCGGATATTGCATTCAATAACTTCCATTTTACATCCATTGCTATGCATGTACAGTAGGTAGAAAATTGTTTAAAAGCTCCTACCATGACTGCCAAGTACTTTGATTTTAAGTCCAGACATTTTTGCAGAATTTTTTTTTTTTTTATTGAAATATATTTATACAGGATAACAAGAATCAGATATACATTGTAGATACAAAATCTGTTTTACATCATGGTCCTGAACAGGATAAAAATGTAGTACACGTAAATATAAATAATGAATATCATCAAAGCTCACAAGCAAAGGTAAGAACAATATAAAACTAACATATAAGCATAATACGCATTAAAAGTAATAAAAAGTACAAAACAAAAAAACAAAAACGACAATGTAATAATTGAAATTAACAGCGGAAAAAACATCAAAACACTTTAATAAAAGGCATTAAAATATCACCAAAAAAATAAAAGAGGAGAAAAGATTTAAGGAAACTGGTGAAAAGTAAAGGATGAAAGAGGGAAAGAAATAAAGAGGAGAGAGGGAAATGGAGAGAGAGAAAGAGAGAGAGAAATAAGCCATGTCAAAGCAGAAGGCTGTATTAATGCCATTAAAGATATACCTGTACAAACACCGGCAAATAGTGTAATAATTTATAATCATTTGTTCCCTTTCTGAAGATATTTGAAGTAAACATCCTTGCTGGAGGTGGTATCTGTCTGTTGGAGGCTCCCGACAGTCCCTTATTCATGTCAGTGCAGGTAGAGGATATTGGTGAGGCGTAAAAGCAAAATTACCTAGTACTTTCAGTCTTTAAGTCTACTTTAAGTCCCCTCGATACAAACTACAAGTAAATTACATCTGTGCTTGCACTTTGGTTCACTAAATAATCATTTTATCATTTTTGCACAATAAAAATGATATTAAAAAAAAAATCTAAGTCACCATACCATCCTTTTTCCCAGAATTACCAAAAGACAAAATTTATGTCTAATCTCTGTCCAAGAGTTCTAAAAGACTATGATTAAACCATGCTATGTTGCAACCTACCCATGTTGTTGTCCGAGGTAGTAACTTGAGAGTGTAGATAAAGCTGATATGAGGTCACTCTTGTGGCTTCTGTCATCATGGTCAAATCATGCTGAGATGGATTAAGCTGAAGGTCAGTGCTCAGAGGCAGTAAGTACAGCTGTACAATAAAATAGAATATCAAGATACTAGTCTATTGTTCCAACAGTGAATATATTTATGGATGCAGTCCAGAACCAAGTGTTAATGGTTCTGCACTGTATCCATACCCAAGAACACTTTGCCTTACAATTTCTTCACATCATCTATTTTTTTGTCTCTTAAGAAACAAGTTGTACAATATTGGAATAGATTGAGTTCAACTCGAGCAATATCCAAGAGTGTTTGGTTTACACTAGTCAGTTCATATTTATAATTAGACCTTTTGAACTACCTATGAAACATAACTAGTTAACGATAGCTATATTACCCTAACATAAAAAAGTAACCATTCTGGTTGAATCATTATCATTCATGCCTTACAAAATTATTTGATTACATATACTGTCATTAATTGTTGGACTCAAGTCAGCAATATATACATACCTGTGATGGGTCCTGGATGGTTTTCTTGATGATGTCTGTCGTCTGTAGGAGCATGGTATGACTCGGTGTAGGAACAACAGGCCAATCCAACCAGACCATCTGAAGACTGCTTTCTGCGAGCTTACTCACCGTGTTTAGTGCCTCAACAACAAGTGGCCTTGGAATTAAAAAAGAGGACAAGAGTAAAATAGTTGATTGTACATCAACTTGCTTTAAGCAAGCACCAATATCTGTCAAAGCCACGTCTCAGTTAGATTGGACTGGACTGCTGCAAGTTTTGACGACCTTCTTGTTATGGAAAGTAATTTAAGGATTTTGTTTGTTGTTGTTATAGACAATCAATCCACTGATTATACACGATTCACCTCTTGGAGACAATTATCAAATTTATATCAAACAGTAACTTTAATTGAAACATAAATCATATCATATCATCAACAAGAATTGATCACATTACAAAGATATATCTTTTAGAGCTAAATGCCCAGATCTCAGTAATAGTAATTATAATAATAATCTAAATTTACATAGCACTTAATACAAATTAACACCTCTAAGCACTTTACAGATAGTAATATCCTGATCATCGTATTCTTTAGGCAAAATGTGCACCATCTCCACTCCCTAGGGAGTATTCCTATTGTATGGTCACTGTGAGGGCATGTGGCTATTACTAACAAAAGGCTTTCCCATCCTACCAGGTGCCCATTTCTCTCCTGGGTATGGAGTGGCAAATGTAGATTAACGCCTTGCAAAAGGACATTAGTGCCATGTCGGGAAACAAACCCACGACCTTCGCACTTCAAGTCAAGAGCTTAAACCACTCGACTACTCCACTTCTACAAGCAGAGAATACTCACAGCTGTGGATGGGTGCAGACCACACCTTTGTTGCTGCTGGTGGTTGGAAAGCTACTTGCACACCCAGACAGGTGATAGTGTGTGAGGGCCCTTGCTTGCTCTAGCTGGCCTGCTCTAAGGAGGAGCCTTGGAGAGTGGACGGCTGCGATACCTACGGATGGATCCTTAGGGTTCAGGTCGTCTAAAGACATGCCTGGTATCAAGGCTAGCTGGTCAGACACAGCGGGGAAGTCCCTCTCGTTGAAGTGACTTAATGCTCTGGTGGAGCACAAAAAGTAAAGGCACTTTATTTCATTACAAATATGTTTCACATTGATTGAGTTTACAGCCATTGTATTAAAACGTCAGAAACAAAGAAGTTCATACGGTTGATGTAATCCATGTTAGCCAAAGAGAACAGACCCCCCCCCCCCTCCCTCTATCCCCCTTAGCCAAGCATAGTTGAAGCTATGGAGTTATTCATACGATAAACAAGAGTGATCTATAATGCTAATAGTTTCTCTATATGATAAGAAAGTAAATGCATGCATATAATAAAATACATATATTCTTACTGGAGAATTTTATTGTACATCTTATCATATTACATTAATAAAAATGCAATATGAAAGGCGTCTTTAAATGTGAAAATCAAATGGATGAATGACTTACTTGAGTATGTTGGTGTCTGTTTGAAGTTTGACATTACTCTTCAGAGCTGAGTGAACCTTCCCTCTCAAGAGCTGTACAGACTCCTGCCATTTGAGGGCACTGTCATAGTCTGTCAGTCTCTCGTAGCAATCCATAACCTGTAAACACCACAATACACCAGTTTACAGTTGTGTGCACCATTTTAAACAAAGCCAATGACCTAGAGGTCATGTATTTATGCGTAAATTAGGATTGCGCCCATGCAAATTTTGATAATATCACTGCCCTACGCGCTGCGTTGTGCGCGCACATCATCATTTGCATGGGCTCAATCTTAATTTACGCATAAATACCAGAGGTCAGAGGTTATTGGCCCCGTTCCGGGGCCAATGACCCGAGGTCAACTGTCTGCGCATGCGCACTGATACAACTGTAAACTGGTGTATCAGCATTGAATTACTAAATGCAGGAGCATATATCATATGCTGTTACATCTAGATGTTACTAACATGCAAGTCCCTAGTGAAATGATTTCAACATAGATAACACAATCAATTATATATGATAATATCAAACTGTTTATATGTTAAAAATCTATATGTTCAAAATTAAGTCAGATGTAGTTTTTTTTTCCAACCAAATGGTGAGAATATTTTGTAGGGAAGTTAAATTCAATAATTATTAATCAAAGAGTAAATTAATAATAGTTATTAAACAAGATATAAAATATTAGAGACATTTTACAAATATCTTAATTATCATGGTCATGCTTATATATTCCAAACTACAACTTGCACTCTTTTATTTTAATATTTGAAAAGAAACACAATGAACATACAGAATTCAGTACTAGAAATGATTCACACAATTGATAAACCATGCATTTCAAGTTACATTTATATCTTGCTCTGTTAACCCCGAAATTTGCACGGCACATGGTTATAAAACTTTAGAAAGCTCAAGACAGAAAATAACTTCCACTAAAAACCAACGAATAGGGGTACTAAAAATGTCTCATCCCCCATTGCAGGTAGTTTAAACAATAAATCACATGGTTAACCTACCTCAAGCAGGAGGTACCCGACCACGGCACCACTCTGTGAGGGAGGCGGTGGTTCCATACCCCTGGTGAGCAGCTTGGGGTTCATACCGTCCCTTCCTCCAGGTGGACTGTTTGGTGGAGAGGAGGTAGAACGAGCAGCTGCTTTGGTTTGTCTGGTAGCCTTGGTCAGGGCAGCATGGTGAGCAATCTCATCTAGATTCAGGTAATCCTTGATGGTGTTTAGAGTGTCTGTTACACAAGACTCAAACCTACAACCACAAACAGCGATACAATCATGTACATGGGGATTTACCATTCCAAGATAACAATCTCTGGAGTATCTACCTTTCTCTGACATGAATACAAGTATTTTCCAAATGCCATGTAGGGGAATTAACTTCAAACTACATGTTTATTTCAGTTTATAGGGAAATTTCAACAAAATGGCAGCTTTCTTGGGGAGCAGATGTCGTAAATATGGCGAAGTAGGGTCTCTATATTGTACTTGCAAGAAGATATTATTTGGCCTACAGCAATGCTTTTTATATCAAATGAAACGTTGTTTTACTCTTTATGTCATGATAATGCTTCATAGTCGAGAGGTTAATTCCCCTTTAATATGTAGCTTTGAAAAATTGTACAGCTAAATATTACTTTGGGTCATTAAAATCAGGTCCAAACTCACTAATTATGGGTATGGACATGCTATCTGCAGGAAAAGATAGGTGTTCTGAAATATATTTGGTATTCCAACCTTGATTCTTCTCACTGAGCTTTGAACAAGTAATGTGATCAACTCTCATCCAAGCATGAAATAGTTAAGGTTTCATCTTTTCAACACGTAGAACTGGCTGATGATAACACATTTGACTTTGAAGGCAAGTCTGTCAACATTAAGCCTTATTCTGCACTGCAATAAAGAAATAATTAAAGTAGAACTTACTTCTTATCTGCCTTGAGCACCATTGGATCGGGCCAACTGAATGACCTTCCAATGACCTTGGCACACCACGTCTGTAAGCCCAGGATGGACTGAGGACACTGAAGTCTCACAAGGGGTGCTATCACACGCTGCAGGCAATCTTCAAACGCATGGCCCTGGAATGGTGTAGAAATAATACCATAAAAACTAATGACATATAATACTAGGAGAGAGTACATTAATAACATCATATGGCTTATCTCACTGTGTAGTTAATGGATTCATCTCAAGCTTATATACATGTATAAAAGCACTAACCCCCCCCCCCCCCCACACACACACACTTTATAATTCCTTGTCAAGTTTATCCATTTAGGGGCAAGAGGGTCATTTGTTGTCCCATATTCTACCTAGTATTGTGGAGTCCTGAAAATAACATGACAAAAAATGTGTCATTTCAGTTCTTACCTCATCTCATCTAAGATGTAGTAATCAAGGTTAATTACTTGATACAATAATCACATACTAAAATCTGTAATGTGGTCGGTAACATTGACAAGCTTGCCCTCTATTAAACTTCAAGAACAAGGAAACCAAATTCAGTAAGAAGCGCTTGGATATTTTCTCCTACTCTATTTAATAATGCAAGGAGGTAACAAATAGAAATGGGCACTGGAAGAGGAAATAAACATTGGAAGGAATGTATGGACCATACTCCTTGAGGTTTTAATGTTAAGTGTAAAATAGTTCACCTCCAATTCTACTGGCCCAACATCGTGAGTGATACTACGGTCAAACCTGCTTTAGTGATCACCTGTCTACAAAGACCACCTGTCTTCAAAGGCCACAATATCTGTTCCCCTTGAAAATTGTTTCTCATTGAAACATGTACTAAAAGAACCTGTCTACAAAGACCACTTTTTGTGTTTCCCTCGGCTTGGGTGGTCGCTATAGACAGGTTTGACTGTACTTACTGTTGTGTTGTTCTTGGCTACCAGATCTTGTAGCATGGTCATAGCATGGTGCAAGGCACTGGCATACTGGCTGCAGTGCATGGCTAGGTTGTATGCCAGGGGACGGACAAGGGCAAATCCCTCATGGCAGGTCTCTCGGTTGGTTCGGAAGAAAGCTTTCACAGGCTGCACAGAAAAAAGACCAGGGAAGATTTTGAATAATGTAATCTACTCTGTAAACTAGAAGTACATTACAATCTAACACAGTGAAGGCATTTGAATATGAGATGTACATGCAAATAGAAAATGTTATTATATTATGACTATATATGTTTGTAAATCCAGTAGTCCTGAGCCTTGCTTTATGACTGTTTTTTTAATACAAATTTATTCTAGTGTTTAAAAATCATCTATGTTGTTGGAATGGAATTTCCCACTGTGTTTTTGGTCCAATTTCCTCTTTATCATGAAAATGGACAAACTTATGTTTTACTACAGGGTTCACTTAAAAAGAAATTGAGAATTCTTTCTATTACCCTTCAAAGGGTGATCGTGTGGATTGAAATCAAACTGGGCAGCGTGTCACGAAACTGTCATGAATATGGAAAAAACAAACATATGATAAACTATGGGGCTTTACTTTAAAAACTGAGAATCTTCACCCCCTTCACCGGGTGACCCTGTGGCTTGAAATTAAATTGGGCAGCGTAGGAGTTCACCGATGTCTCATTGAAACACTTGTATTAAAACTAACAAGCGTTGGAATAAGCTTGTCAGTAATTTTGCAATTATGACATTTTCTTGAAACAATGCCCTTATTTAAAATGTACAACATACACAATGTACCTTTGGCATAGAAGGTAGAGCTACAGCGGATCCCTCGTATGCATTGTACATCAGCTTCTCTAGATGCTCTAGATACTGCAGTAGCAGAACCGGCCTCAGCTGAGCACACTTATATTCTTCACTGAACGCTGTAAGCACATAAGTAAGGTCAGACATAACATATATTTTTCATTTCATTTCATTTATTTTTCCACATTCCAGTTTTAAAAAACATGCAAATACAAAAAAAAGTACATTATAAAATACAAAGGAATACATACATAAAGAGACAGAGTGACCAAGAGGGGAGGATGACTAAAGAAGATAAACTAGTATGCGGAGGGGAGGGGACAAAAACAAAGTACCTTGTCAAGGTTAATCCCCCAAAAAAAAATTGGAAAAATTTTTCTATTGTAAGAATATTAAATCATAACGAGAAAAAATATACTTCAAATTAACACAAATGTATAAAGTCTGAGTTGAGGGCAAGGCATGTGGATGCATGATTGGTCTTATATGTATCAAAATGGGTATATACTGTATGTCATACAACCGTGCTAAGTGAAATAGTAAATGATCAAGGAATCTTGTATTTCACATAGGTATGCCAGAATATTTATAAATAACCCTTGTCTCACTCACATACACTTAAACTAAATAATGTACTTCATTAATACACTGATGAATAGGTTTTGATTTTTGTATAGCATTTATCACAAAATAATATATCTGATACTTAGCAGACATTACCAAAAGCAAAACTATTATGTAAGCTACTACCTGTCATCTTGTCATTGGCAGAGGAACTGGAATCTTCCATCTTCATATCAGTCACAAACTCACTCAGGGCAGCTACAAATATAACATAAATATAATAGTAGGAATTCAGTAGGTAGAAAAAAAACTAAATACATTTTTTAATACTAAAGATCTACAACAATCTGCATTTCACTAGATTACTTCTCTATGTTTCAATTGATATGGTGACATTTCAGAATGCTCAGAGAAGCCATATAAGAGCAGCTTCTATTCTGATGGACAATCGATGAAAGATAGTACCGATTCCAAAATTAGCAAATAATTATTATGCATAACACTGTACACCATATAATTTGTGCACAAAATCTTTGATACATTGCACTTTGCATGAAAGCATTATAATCACCTGATGTTCTGAACCAATTTTATATAAAGACTAGAGATATTCAAATACCGGTATTTGGCAAAAGTAATTGAACTTTTAAAGAGCAGAAAGATTCTCCAAGTAAAGAAATAGATACAAAGAAATTGCAGTATTGCCCTAGTTTTCACTAGCAGTGGGAACGGAGGGGTATATTCTTTGTATTTTCCTTGGTCTCCCTGCTCGCATAGACTTTGTGTGTAGAGACGAGTGAAAATATACCTTAGTATTCTCCACAGTCTCGCATCTGGGCATCTTGTATTCACCACGCCGTATTTTGTCATTTTCATTGCGCATCTATTATGCGTACTAGAACCTGCACACTTTGTGCGCACTCTATTGTGACGTAATAATCACACCAAATGCACTGTTTGCAGTGTATCAAAAATGTTGTCAAGCACTGGATGTACAGTGCTGGTTTGACAAAGTTTGTTCAGTTCTTTGAACATTGTCATGGTGGATTTCTGTATTTGCTCTAGATGTCTGATTTGGATAACAATAAAAATATTGACTGGCTTTACTTTCGGGGGATATCAGAAATATTGACAAGACCATATTGCCCTCGTCTTTCGACTCGGGGCAATATGATCTGAGCTTGGTCAATATATCTGATATACCCCTCAAGGCCAGTCAATATCATATAAATATAATTGGAAGATAGAAAATGGCATAGATCAGACTAGCATACTATTAATGCCTTACATCGTATAGCAGTAAACGTCTCCTGAGGCTTTCCAAGTGGAGTACGCAGCTTCGACAGAACACAGAAGTTTGCTGCTTCCCAGGTAGCCCAGAACCACTGAACAGCCTGATTGTCATTGATCTATACAGAAGGGAGCAGCAAAAAATTCATACAACTTTATATCATTTTCAGAATTTCATTATCATTCATTATATCAACCACAAAACAAAATGCTATACTTCCCTTGCAATGCAATCTTGTAATTTTAAGATCGGCAGGGCCAACAAAAAGGGACAAAAGGGAGAAAAAATTAGCGTATCGAAGATCACTTGGGATTAATACACTGAAAAAGGGCATCTTAAAAAAAATTATACAAGTTGAGATAAAAATGTACTTACAAAAGCTGGCAAGGAGATGTTGCCCTTGTCATACTTGTGTACACTGTTGTGTGGTCTCTGACAGCTGTGGAACAGCCTCTCAAGCCACTTGGTATTCCTGGAGAAAAAAAAATGCAAGAGAAGTAGAAATGATCACTTCTTATCCTCATTTTGTGCTAAATTGGTGTACTCTATTTAATCTGTCTTCAAATGTCAGATCACAACTATCACATTTATCTAATTTCTTGATACTTCTGAGGGCTTACGACAGAGATCATACTACTTTCAGTTCTTTGATATCCCTTACCTGATTTGAGCAGAAATCAAGACAGATCGAATCATGCATATCCAACCCTGGCACAAAATAAACCTACTTCAGAAAATATTATTTCTTTGTTACCAAACTCCTTTACTTACTTAGGTGCTTCTCCCAGAAGGATATAAGCCATGACTGTCCTGTAGTTGTGAGAGTTGAAGGTGGTGTTTGGGATGCTTCCCATATGCTTCTGTCTGGTTCTCTGTAGGATGTGTAGGTTCTGAATGATATCATCACTGCTGTTCTCCCGTCCATCATGCTTGTCCTCTGAGTGCTGAGATGGGCTTACAGGAGCAATGTCGGAGCTGTGGGGGACAAAAAGTAAGGTCGGTATTGAGTGTGGTAATACAAGAAGTGATCTTCAAGCAGCAGTACAGCAAGAAACTGTGAATAATAACTTGTCTTTAGAGAGTCAACTGAAGGAAATGAAAGCTTTTATTAATTCTGTCTGTCCTTGTATGTGTGTATGTATGTCTCAGTTAATGTTATGTCTATATTGTCAATATTTTGCTTTTAATTACTGAAGATTTTACTTTTGGGGTTGTAGAAAAAGGGGACCAGCCTAGAAAGGCTAATGGCCTTTTCTGGTCCCTCACATCCCTACTCCACCCATAAATCATTTTTAGTGTTACTGATGTTGTTGTATTTGTTCTTATTATATTTTATATATATTGCATTTTGTATAATTGTATTTTGAATGTTATAATGCTGTAAGTTTTTTATTGGATGTGAAAAAAACTGAACTTTCAACTTTGAACTTTGAAAGCTTGCCTCCAAAAGTGTCAATGTGGTAGAAGCTTAAAGAACTTGTTATGATTACCCCAACCGATGAAAACTTTCTGTATCAAGAAGTATGTGTTTCTTTGAGAAAGTGCTCACAAAGATATGCATACAATTTCATTACATACTTCTTATAATTTTCACATTTGGTGCAAAATAAACAACAACTCAAAAACATTCTGGTACTAAGAATAAATTCAAGAGCAATAGATTTACTTATCAAATTCACACAATGGTAACTCTTAACTGCTGAGAGTTTAATGTGAGAAGGGAAATTTGCTGTACCTCTTAGCAAATTGGTATCCTAAATTACAGAATGCTGCTTACCTGTATAAGATGTCACATGGAAGGCTAAGCATGAGGTCTGTAAATGCCCTTTTGACATCATCATGAGAGCTTACTAGTCTGGTCCGACACACCTCCAGGCAACTAGTTGAGGATAGGGAAAAATGGAATCCTTGTGAGAAAAGAAGTACAATCTCTCAAAATGAGGCTTGGAGAAAAGAGAGCTAGTTTGTCATGAGATAGAAGTTCAAAGGAAAAGACAAAAGCAATGTTCTGTCTGACCTAAAGAAGGAGAATTTAGGCAGATTTTAGTTTTTGCATTGAATAAGATTATTGTTTATATTCGTTTGGAGAGGGGAAAGAAGAAAAAAATCATTGTAAAAAGACACTTCCATTCAACAATGTTTTCAAAACAGACGAGGCTGCCCCAACACATTCTTTCCACAAAATTCATCTATCAAATATAATACATCTGTTTAACCCTTCCCTCCTCATTCCTCACTCATTCCCCACTCCTTTCCACTCCTTCCCCCTCCCCCCTAAAAAAAGGAGAACCACCGACTTGATTACCTGATAAGGAATTCTTTGGGTGGTCTAGCGTGCTTGATGACAAGTCCCATGCATTGCGCTGCCTGTAGGGTTATAGAGGGATCCTCATGGAGAGCTAAAGAACATGAAGAATAAGAGGAAATCAAAGTCTGGTTGATTACTTGCATCTAGATTAGCTTTTTGAACAATACATCCATTGGAATTTCGAGGTATTATGTTAGCTTTTGAAGATATATGAAACATTAAAGCTTCAATTTCAATTTGTAGTTCTTTAATGAGATTTCTTCCCAAGAATATAATGATCCGTCTAATTAATATATTTCAAAAATCCATTTGTTATGTCTTCCCTGCTTTAATTATGCTTTCTCTACTGGTCCACAGAAGAAAATGGAACTGTTAGAAAAAGAAAAAATGAAAGTGGAACATGGTTAGCAGAGGTTTATTCTCTTCAGCTTCACTTTAACCCTTATCCTGCTAACCCTACCAATAGCTTTGTGGTCTTGCAAATTGCACTCATAGATTGATAAGTGTACTCACCAACATGTACTAAGGCTGTCACTGCCTCTGTGAATGCTACTGTGAGACAGACTGCCGAGTAGCTACCCTGCTGAAGGTACTGTAAGATACTCAGCATCCAACATAGTGCAAGGCTCCTGTCAATCAACAAGATAAGGGTTGTGATGTAAGATAATGTTCTTTATTCATGTTTAATACAACACAGAGAAACATGGCATTTGTAGAGGTGTCGTGTTCTAGTTATAAGTCTCCGGACTGTGAACCACAAGGTATGGGGTTGAAATCCATTGGCAAGATATTAATCTATCCCACGTGAGGCATACCTGGTGGAAAATAATTCCTTAACATTCTAGATCGCCATAACAGCAATCATGCTAAAGATGAAGTACATGTACTGTAATAATTGTGGAGAGGGAGGTGTTTCAACTCCAACAAAAATGAGCATAATACAAAAACCCACTATTACACTGTATTATTATAATGGGTTTTTTTTTTTAATAGAGTGAGACAGCGAAAGATGGCGAGAGGTGGTAAGAAAGACATAGAGCAAGCAGAATTTTAAAAAATACCCCCCAAAAAAGAAGCTAGCTGAAGAACACATGTAATGAAATAGTCACAAGATATCAACTTTACAGGTTTGGCAGGGACAATAGAAAGATACTATACTATAGTTCAGCAAGTGTTGGAATTATTGAGGTGTAATACAAAATATTGGTCAATGTTAGGGTGGGGGCTAGGTATAGTATTGGTACAGGATTGTAATCAGACTCTGAATGGACACTGTGATTCACCTGCTTTCATCCGATACCGCAGGGCTGGTCAAGACTTCGGGAAGGAGTGCCAGAATCCTAGAGAAGTTTGTCCTTGTCTTAGACGCAGCTGTCAAACCAAAACTACTGGAGATGAAGTGACCATTGCTGCAATAAAATATGATACATCATGCATTACATCAGGGTGGATGATACCAAGTAAAATGTTGAATATATTCAATGTAATTTTCTGAATGATAGGATTCATTCATATATTTAGTTATTTCTGATGTATCATATATATACACAATGCTAAATCAATAAATTATTAATCAAAACATTGTGCTAATAACAGTCAATTTCAATACCAAAAGTTGTATTTTGAGTTTTCAAGATTTCTTAAATAATCAAAACCATATTCAGTTTTAAATATCTTTAAATATACTGCCAAAGTATTTAAATAACACCATCGGTTGACAACAATCACCCAGTACACAAATATTCTAGAGTACATGATTGAGATGAAGCACATTTGTTCTGATTTACTGTTTTGGTCCTTACCTCTTGCTGTGTGTATAAAGCATGTGCAGTATGGTGTAGTAGGTGGATGGAAATCCTAGGGCTATATCCCAGTGGGTCGGGGAGAGGTGAAGGGTCAAAAGGTCAAAGATGCTTGGGGAAAACACCCACATCTATGAGAGAAAAAGAAGACAATGAATTATGATATCCATCATATAGAATGTTATTGAGGTTTTTGTGTACGGGATAGCTAAACCCTTATGGAACCTCAAAAGAGAAGGATGGAAGCTTGGTGCAGAAATCAGCCTGCACACCCCAGTAAATTATACCAGGAAGTGAGACCTGAGGATCATAATGATTAAGATTTTTCTTCCTCATTCCAAAGAAGAGGAGACTATCAATTAAGAATAACAATAATAAACTTGTTTGAAATTCCTTAAGTGGAATATTATATAGCTCAAATTTGTTATGTTGTAATGTACCAAATGCACTGGCTTTTTGGAGGTATACATGTATGCTGTAAAATAACAAACACACCAGTTTGATAAAATTCTTTGTAGGGTTAATGTTATTAACTTATAGGAGCCATCTGTACATTATGGAAGCAGGGATAGCAGTTGGTTTCATCCAATGAGCCTGAAAAGGGACTCTGACATGTTAGAGCCCAATATGTGCTGTACAAAATAAATCCTTTAGAAGCCTGAATTGGGGAGGTGTCTGGGCCAGAAATAAGGCTTCAGTCAAAACTGGTATCCCCCTTTTTCTCTCTCTATTTGCATATTCAAATATAATTAATTACATTTCTCTGGTCTATTCCAAATTATGTAATTTAAGTACACATTATTATTATCCCTGTGTGAGAAGTACTCAACCGACCTACCCCCATAATCGAGCTCTTAGCTGAGCTGATGTCTGAGAGGGCAGCTAAGGTGAAGATGATGATCATCTCTGCTCCCTGGATGCTGTCTAGGAGTGACGATTCCTTGATGCCATTAGAGCCTTCAGAGGTCAACTGACATTTGACCTCACTGTTCAGGTATGAGAGCAGTCGATTGTATGAGGACTGCAGGTCAAGCAGCAAGAACCTGAAGTCCATAGTGAGATGTGGGAGATATGGGAAGGATAGGGAGAAGTTTGAGAGAAAGAGAAGGGAACAGAGAAATATAATCAATGATAATCAATGATATACGAATATACAGGAAGAGAGAAAAAAAGAGATATAAAAATAGATGATAAAGAAGGTAGTAAGAAAGGGAACAGAACATTGAGTTGATAATAGAAACTCTGCTAATAATCCTACTTCACTGCTTATAATGAAACTATATTTCCTATGTTAAATCTAGAATAAAATTGTAATTCAATATCTTACAATATATCATCCCCACATTATATATACCAGTTTCTCATACAGAATGAAACAATGATAACTTTACAACAAAAATTTAGTTCAATTGTTTGGGAAATCATATATATTTCATTTCAAATCCTTTCCACATGAAGGTATCCAAGTACCGGTACTCAGTGACCAGTAATCATCCTTCATAATAAAATGGTTACCACATTACTGATTTTTTTTTTTTTTTTTTAAATTGGTATATAATGATCGCCCAGCAGCACAAAGCTGAAAGGGTCAATTTACAACAGTACAGAGATTTATATATATGTACATTAGTATTACAAAGCATGGTAAATAAAACAGTAACATAATGACAATATGGCACTAATTTCACAATACAGACATTAATAAATGTTTGTTTTATCCTCTTCAACGTTATGAATGAATTGAGATGATATGTGTTGCTTACCCATAGGTGAGTTCAAGAGTGGGTACATCTTTCACATTCAGTAGACTTTGCACCGTTTTCATTAGACAAGTCATGACCTATTGAACAGAAAACATTTAATATTCTTCATTATAATATATCCATCATTATACAATGAGTTATTCCACAGCATTACAAGACAAGTCCACTCTAATTTGTATATAAACATAATAGCCCTCATAATTTGGCCAATTAAGTAGTGAACCCATTCGTTATGATACATGTATCTTTATTTGCATAATTATTTCTCTTTCATTTTCTAGCAATCTGACACATTTAATTTGATATTTTTAATGCTCAGCAGCATGGTTTGGGAGGGGGAAATTGCAAAATGATTAACAGCAATCAAAATAACATTTGATTCAAACAATGAAGATAATCTGAAATGTAACTATAAATTACATGCAAATGCCCACTGTAATGACCAACAACAGAGTAGAAGCTCTACATGTCAAAGAATGTCCCTTTAGTTAGGATGAAATAGTATCTGAGTGAACTAAAGGTTCCATGAACTTTAGAATCTAGCTTCTTGAAAACAGAGGAACAATTACATGTTGCTAGTAGATTTGCTAGTAGATATAATTATTTGATTTGATTTGATTTGATTTATTGGTTTCTGCATCTTTTTTCTTTTTTTCATCATTATTATTACCTGTGGATTTGTGTGGTACTTGAGAGAAGCAATCTTGGATCCTGGTTCTAGTAATCTCTGGATGATCTCTGCAGGCACCATCTCTCTGCTATGCCTGATGACCTAATCAATACAAACAAATAAATGGGTTTGAAATGCAATCCATGTGGTACCACTTATGCAGCATATCTAAGATCGAACTGACAGATCAACGCACAAAATACACTTTAATTTACTTATACATGTAAGATCAACAGTTAGTACAGTTAAAGGTACATATGTGTCTACTATTCAAACTATTTCAATGATAGACACCAAAGTTTTTGTAATCAAAATCATTGTCCTCAGTTACAAGAACCATTATATCATAACAAATTGACACCAGTGCTTTCTTTAAAGAGTAGTCTTCTTGTCAATACATTCATTTTAGATGTGACAATAAGTAATCAAATACCTTGTAGAGCAGAGTCATGTGAAGCACTAATTCAGATGCTGGCGTCTTCTCCGACTGAATGACCCTTTCGACCTCCGAGAGGGCAAAGGTGAAGAGGTCATGTTTGCATTTGGTTAGGTTATCTTGTATGCAGTCTAGGACAGCAATCAGGCACTTGGTTGCAATGTGGCATAGGGCTGGGTCAGGGGTGATGGCAGTCAGGATCCTAGCACACTTGGGTATTCCAGACAAAACCTGCAAGTTGGCACATTAATCTCAATTTTGATCAAATCATGAACAGTATTTTATTCATGCAAAACAAAAAACATTCTATAGATACATTCTGCATCACATTCACTCAAAAAACGCCCATGTTCAGTTAGAGATCAAATCAGATTATATTGGTTTATGAAAGGTGTAAGAGATTATAAGTGCAATCTAATTCAGTTTAGTCTGTAAGATGGATGAGAAAACTTAGTAATTACAATATTTCTATTGGACTCCTGGCTTCACTTACTTGCAGAAGCCAAATACTAAGTTACTTTCTGGGTAACACATAACAATATGTTTTCTTTTGGGCTTTTACAAAATCATGTGCTTTCATGAGAATTGCTATTGACATGCTGCAAATGATTGATTAAACACAAAGTGGATTCTGAGGCTGGCTTTGAATGCTGTGTTAAAATCTAGAACAACGAAAGGGATTAGTAAACTGTAAAAGCTACAAAATTAAAAAGACATACTGTACAAGTTGGCTATATCATACCTGGGAAATGTAATCTACTGTGATTGGTGGGCTACTGACTGGAATAAACTCCTTATCAAGGCACTTCACGACTGTAGTATATACCCTGCATATAGTAAAACAAAATTACAACATCATGTTTGAAATATCAAGTATGAGACATAGAGGATTACATTCATTTACATCACATGTCGGTACATCATTCATCTATAATTTATATGACGACATTGTATGTGATTCTTTCTTGTTTTACTGAGGACTGTCTTATCACAATCATCATTTACCACTGCATCTATGAGATGTACGAGATAAATTTAAACTCAAAACTCATAAATGTGATAGGAGTTGGAAATTGAAAAAGCTACTCAATCCCAAAATGACAATCTCCTCAGATGATCCACAGTGAAAAATCCAAATTGTTTACCTTGCATTAAAAAGGAATCATATATGTAAACAAAACATATAATTCATTATGCCAAATAGAATAAAGACATCATACATGCAAAAACCACACATGCGCTTCAAGTACAAAGAAACCAAAAGATATCATTTGGCTAAGGGCTAAACATGAATATTGAAAATGAGATGGTGTGTACCTCATGAGTGCTAGTATTTTGTTCTTGCAGACATCTGGTGTGAGGATCTCATCGTTATCATAGCCATCACTCCTAGGGGGTGCAGAACCGCCCCTGGCAGCAGAACCTTGGGTCTGCTGGTGGTAATCCTGCATGGGTTAAACAATCATGTAATAGAGATATTATCATAGCCATCACTCCTAGGGGGTGCAGAACCGCCCCTTGCAGCGGAACCTTGGGTCTGCTGGTGGTAATCCTGCATGGGTTAAACAATCATGTAATAGAGATATTATCATAGCCATCACTCCTAGAGGGTGCAGAACCGCCCCTTGCAGCGGAACCTTGGGTCTGCTGGTGGTAGTCCTGCATGGGGTAAACAATCATGTAATAGAGACTCACAGGCAAAGTGATAGCATGGTACTATTATTCCCACAATCATTTCCATCATCATCATCAATAACATCATCCCTATCGCTACAACAATCATCATCAAGGTAATAATAATAAGCATCACCATCCCAACCAATGATCACCATCATCATCCCCATCATCATCACCATCATCATCAACATCATCACCACCATCACCATCACCATCATCATCATCATCATTATCATCATCACCATCACCATCACCTTGAGCATTTAATTAAAATGGATAATGGCGCTATATAAATCTCATGTATTATTATTATTTATTATTATCACCATCATCATCACCATCATCATCATCAAAATCGTCATCATCCCCACCATCACTATAATTATCACTGTCATAATATGATCATCCTCACATTCAATCATTAACAATCTGATAATCCTCCTCACTAAAGTCTTTATCGGTACATCCTATTATCTACCCAACAATAAATCATGATTGCTCTTGGGTTGCTTACTTCAGCGTATGCTTCCATGTCTTCCAGGAATTGGCTCAATAAATTGGCTGAGAAACCGAGATCAGCTTGCCAGTAGCGAGAGAAACTGGACAAGGAGTCTACAAAAACAAAAATTGATAAACATTGAACAATTGATTATCCACACATTTACGAAGAACAATTGAAAGATTGTTTATGTTACATGAAAACACAATGGATACACCAGGAGAGCAACAAATATTGCTCAGTATAACAAAATGCTATGTTTAGAAATTCATACAATAATTCATTTCCTTTAATACGATTTGAAACTGATGACCATACTAGTTTTTATTTGATAAATAGCTCTTTTCATTCAATAGAGTGCCAACTGTCATGCAATCCCCATTCTTATGTGTAATTCTATTCTATATTTATATAATCACATTCTACACAACTTCCTTAATAATAGATGCAGAGAGAATTATATTTGGATATACAATACTTTTATCCTATACTAGTCATTTAATTGCCTAGCTCAATATGATCTATTTACTGGTATACCCAATAAACTGTTTATTACCTTCACAGTATTTGAGGAGGACTTCCTTCTGAGTCGTGTCAATGTACCAACCTACTATGATATCAACAGTGTCCTGAAAAGACAAAATAAGACCATAAGTATGCATGTATTTCCAGAAACTTGCCACATTCCAATGCCTCAAATTGTACATCAAGTCCTGTACTCAAAAGTATTTATCTTTAAGGACGAGTGAATATATTGGTACCAAATAAATTGCTTTATAGATCTCTTTGAACAAATTTGAAGACTTTCCCTGATAATGTATGTCTGTGGGAGTCAACATCTAATAAACAAAATTTTACAAGCGGTAAAGAACCTTATACATATTCATGTGTATTGATCATGAGCATAAGACTCTTAGGTGAAGAAAAGGTTGATGAAAAACCCACGACTGTCACTGGCACAGGTATTTTATTATTTGTTTCGTTTCTATACTGTTGCTGCCTTAATATATTGTAAAGAAAATTTGATTATATAATCTAAAATCACCTTGCTGTGACAAAACAAACACTAAAACAGACAATAGAGTGAATTTGACAAATTGCATTTTGTTTTGTACTATTTACTATTTAGCTTGTAAATAGACTGCATTATACTAACACATTTATTATTGTCACTATCTACATTGTACATGTATATATACTTTGTGTTTACTAGTTGGTTCATAATTCATGTTTGTACTTTCACACACTATATACCTATTATCATCTGTATCTTTGTGTCATTATCTATAGTGTATAATGTATGAGAACTGTATTCATAAATCATGCATTGCCATTTATACTTTTATGTTTGTTTGTACTCTCATACCCCGAGAGGGGGTCAAAGAGTCAATAAAATTCTATTTTTAAAAAAAATTGTGTTGAGATTTAGTTTATAAACAAACCTTGAAGAAAGCACCGAAGAGTTTGGGGTATTGCTGGGATACATAATGGACAATGTTCATCACAGACACCAACAGATCTGTAATTACAGAAAAAAATATACAAGAGTGTTTTATCCAAATGAAGATACTGATTTCTTGGTTAGAATGAGAGATTCTAAGTAACATACATAGAAATAAATTTTTTAAGACAATCAGAAACTTCTAGGAATCAGCCAATATAGCCTTCTGTATACCATCATAGCATTGAATAATGATTATCACTGTAGGTACTCAAAAAATTCAATGTTAGAATAATATGCACCAGTTACGTGTGGTTGCCATTTAATTTTGAACTGTAGTGATTTACTCATTCGGATGTACCCCAAACAGTATACGCAGCTTTACAATCCAATTTTTCTTCATACTCCTTAAACCATTAACCCATAAAATCCACAACTATTATTTTAGGGGGTACACACTTTAGATATTTAGACAAACTGATCATGCTCAATGAATCTAAATCAATTGCACTGACAGGGTCACGCTGTCCATGGAGAAATAGGAAGGCTGATTCAAAGAGTACATCAAAATTATAATAAATTTGGCCCAGTCTTGGTAAAGTTACAAGCACTGTACACAGGAAGATGTATATGGGACTAACATGTGGCATAAAGATCCGTCCCGATTGTTATGATGTTACATGCCATATTTAGAATATTAAGACATTTGAAGAGCCACGCTTTTCAGGGAACACTTTTTATCTGTTTTTCCACACTTGCATAATACAATGATAATGCTCACAAATTATTTGTCACCTCTTCCCAGAACTCAACCTTCTCTTTAAAGGTTGATGAAGGTAAGATGACTTACCCGGGGTGTCTACATTTTCCAGTGTTATCTGAAGATCCTTCATGATGCCATTCATCAAGGGAAGGAGACGTGGGTTAGAGCTGTTCTTTCTCAGGGCCTAGTCAAAACAACCATAGATAATACATTCAATATGATTGGATATCATGCCAAAAGTTCAGAATCAAATTATTACAGGAGCTGTAGAAAAATGTTTGAACCTTCTAGCTTAAGATAAAACTGTTGTAAGATTTGATTTAGTTCATGCCGATACAACTGTATGTGTACACTTAAGAGAGGAGAGGACCTAAAGCTGTCGGCCGTCTGGTTGCTTACTAACAAGCATTTCTGCTTTCTTAGCAGTCAGGTAAAATAACCACCACCACCAAAATATTTTTTTGTTCTCTATTTCTCCCTAAAGAAAATAGTCTCAGGTGCATTAGGATATTTCTTTCATTGGTTAGAGCATAATTTTCTTCCCTGCTTTTCAGACAGTGCAGGCCTATTCACTGGCATTACCTGTAGTTGTTTTTTTATTCTTCGTTTATTAAATATTGGTTGTAATTTTTTACTTTTTTTTTTTTTGTATGGGTGTATTGTCTTTTTTCTTTCTTAGTTAGAAATTTCTTAATCCAACACAACATTTCTCAACAATAACATGTAGATACACTTACTTGGAATACAGCATAGAACATGTAGGTCTTGTATTCATCATTGCTGGAGTTTTGGAACTTTGTGAAAGCCCATCCAAAGAATCTACAAGAACAAGGGGTTACAAATAAAATATTGCAGCAGAAATTGTTACTTCTCAAAAACAAACTAATTAAAAGATTTTATAACCTCTCAATAATTCTTTGCAGCCTCCTCTGATATTTTACTTCTGTTTTATTTAAATTTATTTTATTTTTTATTTCTATTCATTTATTTCTTCATTTATTTATTTTTTACAGAGAAGGGATAAAACCACTTTTATTGATGGTTTAAGCTGCACAGGTGTAGTTGGGAATGTTCATTATTCTAGGGGTATGGAAAATTACATAGAATACATAAAACTAAAAAAATATACATGACAATATCTTTCATTATTATCTATATAAGGCTTCCAAGTGGTACAATAAATCAGGACGGTGTATTTAATATCTTTATCGCAGTACCCGGATGACAGATCAATATTGTTTTTGTTTTGCCACGTCATCCGGGAACTTCAACTTTTGAAACAATATTGCTTGATTTCACTTCGCTGGTACCAGTCACTGTACCCAATGTAATTTGAGGTAAGTCAAATTTTGTTATTTCGCTTGTCAGCCTGATATAGATAATAATAATAATATTGTATGGCTTTGTTTTGTGTGATACAAGAATATATTGTTCTGACTATGACAATATTGGACTCCTCTTCGACTCGTTCTTCCAATAGCTTTAGAGGACCTAAAGTCGTCGGTCCGCTGGTTGCTTTCTAACAAGCATTTATGCTTTCTTAGCAGTCAGGTAAAATAACCACCACTAAACCGAGAAAAATATCATGTAAATACCTTTTGAGATCCTGCCCAGTATGAATGGACACAGCTGCAATGCACTGTGATAGCTCCAGCTTGATTGAGTTGGAAACTCTGCATAGTAAGATAATATTTATTTTAGCTTACAAGATGAACTAAACAAACTTGTCATCTCAGAATACTTCACAACATTCTATTAAGTAACTTGCATACATTTCTGACACTTTTCTGTTGCCTCACTTGAATAGCAATACCACAGAGAAACAGACACAAATAATAACAGACGATTTGTTTGACGTGACCTGCATGATATACATGTATGACATTTATTCATATATTTTATGTATGAAAAGAAGATCTCTTGATATTTCTGACTACCGGTAATAGAAATAGCCGTGATACCAGAAAGAACCATTCATGATAATTCAATACTCATATCATCAGATTGTTTATTTTTGGATGAAATGTGTGGAATAAGACTCAAGTCACATATGATACATTACACATACTCACTGTAACTGAGTATAACAAAATAGATTGTAAAAGTTGCAGACTCCACATGGATCAATATCAGAAGACTTAAACATTTTATACATTCCCAAACATCTATATGACTTAATTAAGCATTAAAAATGGATTCTGACAGAGAGCACATCTCTGCTTACAGCCTGACTTCAGCAATCATAAATCACAGAGACTTACCTGTCACACAACACAGAAGATATAGCACTCAGAATGCTGTCATTCTGCTTCTGAATTTCCTGCAAAGATACAAAAAATAAATAAAACAGTTCTGTTATCTCACATACCGTACTTCTTTCCTATTCTGTCTAGATCTTAAGAAGAAGAAGAAAACAAACAGGGCAAAATTCATTTATAACTGAAGAAGGCAAGGTAGACTACAAGTCTACAGCTAAATCCTATAAAAGTTGTGACATAAAATTGAATAAATGTTGAACCTAGCCACGCAAACACTCATACATACATACATACATTTAAAAAAATCACATTACAATATGTGTGGCAATAGTGACTGGTTCAAAAAAGAAGAAGGCTGGACCTTGTGGCAGATTAGCCTTGTGTGCTAAACAAGTTATATCCAATAAAGTCTACTCCTATTCCAATGTTTTAGACTTTTAGTGTAGCCTTCCTGCAAAAAGACAGATTCAGGGCTCTTAAAGTCATAGTTTAACAATGTTAAATCTGAGATACACGGCCCTACGTGTTATCAGTGTCTGTGATATGGTGTAATATTGAAGCCTTTAAAAAAATTGAACTTCAAAACGATCAAGAAGTGTCTCAAAACAGTAAAAAAATCTTTGAGTGACCGGTTTTACCATACTCATTTTCCCCAATAGACTGTAGTGTTATGAAAACCATTAGGAAAACACAAAATTTTATTTCGATTTCCAATCATAAATATCTTGATAATCAGACAGGCGATAGGCTGGTAAAAGTCATGGGGTTCCTGACTGACCTACAGGTTTATAATTAATTATCATTGCAGCAAGAGCTAAATCCAGGATTTTGTTTCAGAATCTGAGACAAAGTTACCCAATCCCTTTAATGGTTGATGCTCCTCCTACTGCTGCTAAATGCATTTTGTAACATCAACAACGTACAAACCACTATGCTAGCACACTCTGACTGTAACCAATACGACCCACTCAAGCAAAGCATATAGAGAGTAAATACTAATGTGTATTGACCTCTAGCGCTGTACTACGGGCTGGGAGGCAGCAATTGCACACAATTACATACCGGTAGTAATACACGCAATGAATAGGATGTGGCTGATCGGCAAGTTTGACAGTACACTTACGATTTGAATTTTCAAAGTATTCTTTCTAACATTGGTAAGATGAAAAGATTGTATTTTACTGCTATTTAGGTGTCACCAATTGTCACTGAAGTACCGATTTTGAGTGATCTCCGTTGAGTTTTGTACAGTGGTGTTTGGAATGTTGAGAATCGTCTGAACAGTTTTTAATACACATCCAGGATAGTAATGCAGCTATGTGGGATATGACCCTGTTGACTTACTCTGCTGTGATCCTTGTTGGTGAGGAAGTCCAGGAGCTGCTGACAGGCAGACAGACGTCTTTCTTTGTCATCATCCTTTCCAATGCGATGAAGAAGGCTGGACAGTACTGAGTGATCAGTGAACAGCTTGCGACCTGTCAGGAATGCAATGTATCAAGAAAGAACAAAGGGAAATATGTTTAACTAACTGAAAGAATATTTACTCAAGTCAAATTTATGGATGTTTGCCCCTCAAACCTCTGGAGACAAACCATTTGACTCACCTGTTTTAAAGAGAAGGTTGAGTTCTGGGAAGAGGTGAAAATAATTTGTGAGAATTACTCATTTTTATTATGCAAGTTTGGAAGAGCATCAGATAAGACATGTTCCCTGAAAAGCATGGCTCTTCAAATGCCTTCGTATTCTAAATATGCATGTAACATCGTAAAAATTGGGGGCCGGTTTTTTACGCCATGTGTTTGTGTAGTCCCATATACATCTTTCTGTGTACAGTGTTTGTAACTTTACCAAGACTTGGCCAAATTTCTTTTCATGTTGATGATTCCAGAACCTTGCAATACACACAAATTCTTATATGCTAGATGATCAACCTTTTCTGGTCGGTTCCACACCGTTTCTTTCACAATGCAATCGCATGACCATAACTCAACTTCATCTTTAAGTATCTAAAAGGACTGATTCCGTCTTGTATCAAATGGCTGTTGCTACAGGTATGCCATGCAATACTCCCAACAGGCTTTATATTTGTTACGTTTAGATAATAAACATGGAAGCATGAAATTTGAGTACCGTACGTTACTGGTCTATTTCAGAAACCTGTGCCTGCCCCAAAAAATTCTTTTAAAAAATGTCTCTCTCCAGCTGCAAAGGTCTAGATCTAGACCTTTAATATACAGGTACAAATGTAGATAGACCCTACCTGGATACAGTACACATTCTTTACGGGAAGAAAGGAGATTATGCACTCATGACTGCAGAACCCGTTCTATGAATGATCATAATGTGGAGCTTTGGAAAGTTACAAAAAGTAATTTTTGTAATGTAATCAAAATTTCCTGCTCAAATCTTTGTTAAGTGCCTCCTTTTAAATGTGTGTATTCACCTGTTACGTAAATGTATATTGGTACTTCAATAGTCAGAATGTGAATTGTATACATTACATGTTGCTAGGTAGGACAAGCCATAATGTTTGTCCTATCTAGATCTACTTATCTAGCATTATAAAATGGCTCTAGTATTTTAAGCATCGTGATTGGTCAATATGCGTTACATGACATGCACAAATTTTTGATGCAAGCACGACTTTGCAGTAAAATTTTTTTAATATCCCACGTTACCATGGATATCCAGCGTGCTTACGTGTAGTACGCTTCCTCGAGTGCATTGTAGGCTACGTGTAGCTAATATTGTACGCTCCACCATGATCCCCAGCGCAGCATACGCGTAGCTTAGCTAGCAGCTCTAGCTAGCTAGCTAGAGCGGGGTATTATTAGAAAGCAAATTTTCATTTTACTTTTGCCTTGGATTTAGGCCTGTTTTGACTTTTGGATTTTATAATGAAGCCAGGAATTTCAGCTGTCTGATGTAGACTCGTCTCTAGACCCACTATGGATTTTATTTTTAATCAAGGCAATGAATCCTGTGGACTTTTTGGTAAGCCTGCAAGGTCTTAGTCAAGAACCAACATAACTCTAGATCTAGATCGAACTCTCGTAGACTCTAACTTAAGATCTAAACTTTTGTTTGTTGCTATTTGTGTCGCTATTTTATAAAACAAATAACGCATTTGACCCTGTTGTGCGAAACGTAAATGCATTGTACGCTCGGTTTCTTCAGATGGTGCTCACTGTGAACTCGCCACAGAGCGGCACCAATCTAAAGAAACCACGCACGTACTGCATTCACTGCTTTTGCACTCTGGGACGTGCATTATTTGTATAACATACAATTCTCATTCTGACAAATGAAATACATTTGCTTTTTTCACACTAACAGGCGCATAAAATAAGTTGTTACATGGCACTTAACAAATATTTATGCACTAAATTTGATTACATTACGAAAGTGGTAAATTGACGTACTGCATCAATGTCATTTAGTAACTAACATTGGAGGCAAGACCCAAGTTCACCCAAAATCAGAACACGATTTCAACATGTATGATGGGGAGCCCTAGGCTAGGGCGGTAGGCGATAGGCTATGTCTGCGCACCAAACATTGCACTTAAATTGAATTTCTTTTCATATTCTATTACTTTAGTATTATTAGTGATAGTATTACCATTATCCTTTATTATTTCTGTAGATCTATCTGTATCTGTCCATGACAATCACCAGCAGCTGGTTGTCGCGTACGTACATTATTTACATTCTAGATACAAGTTTGCCAAAAAATTAGTACAAATTTCAGCAAGAACAGTATCATTTTCACAAGAATAGAAGACAATGTAATTTTGACATTGCAAAAACCCAATGATATTTAGACTCTAACTTAGGCCTAGATCTAGATCTATACATAAATGTCCTTGCAGTGTTGCACTCACTCACTAACACTTTAGTAACAGTAACACTGTGATACTTGTTACTAATGTTAGTGCAATCTTACAAAGTTACATCATACATGGTCATGAAGTTCGTATTTGTTTTACATGTAGAAATTGATCTTCATGATACATGAAGTTCGTATTTCATTTGTTTTACAGTGTAGGCTACATGATACATCACATGAACGATAGCGTTTCGAGGATCATTGAGAACAAATAGTACCAAAATTAGCATTTCTCACTGTCAATCAAGAATAGAGATAGTAGACTAGAGACTTGTTGTTTACCTTGTTGTTTCCTCATGCTGCAGCTGGTTCTGGCTCTGGCTCCGCCCAAGAAGAAAACTTCCAAATGTCAATTTCGTGAAAATGAGGCAGCAGAATGGCGTCCGTCACTGAATTTCTTCTTCCTGATCAGCATCAAGTTTCCTTTGCACTGTTGAATCTACTTCTAGCTCACACTGAAAATGTGTAATTTCTACTACAAACTGTAGAAATCGATCTGAAATCTGTTGTGGGAGTGTCATCTTAACATCGCGAAGTTCATCATAATCACGACTGGGGATTCCCACAAAGTCTTCTTCGGTCAAGTTCCCGCCTGTGCATTCGACGGGAACGACCATTTTTGCATGTTGATTCGACCTCGTTTTCTCTCGAAAAAAAACTAATTACCCCCAAACCTAAAAATATGATTTCTGCAATTTTCAATCAAAGTCTCAATCGCACCGATACTCACAAATGAAGGGGTAAGACTCAGTGAAACTCATCCATCAGCCTTTATTTCCCTTTCACGAAGCAGCAGACGGCCATTTCTGTTCTACTAATCATTCTTCTTACGTGCGCCCTCTACCAGCTACCCTGGAATACTTATTGTGCACCCCTTTTGCGATCTCAAAGTACATGGTGGTGGATTCAGGGGGGCACAGGGGGCATCCCCCCCCCCCCCCCCCCCCCCCCCCCCTCGGTATAAAAAAGGGGGAAAGGGGAAAAGGAAAAAGGGAGAAAAGGAGAAAAAGGAGTGGGAAGAAAAAATAGGGGGAAAGAATGAAAAGCTAGGGAAGAGAGAAAGAAGAAGAAAAGAGGGACGGGAGCTAGAGAAAAGGAGAAGAAAAAGGAGGAGGAAAGGAAGAAAGGGGAATAGAGAGAGAGGAGAGAAAGGCGGAAAGGGAAGAAAGGGGGAAAGACGGAGGATATAATAGGGGGAAAAGGAGAATAATGAGAAGGGAAAAGAATTAGGAAAGGGGGATTATATTATAAGAAGGGTTTTTCAGTACCGGGAATGGGGGGGGGCACGTAATTTTGCAGTGTGCATAATACGGGGTCCCTCTTGCCAGGCATGTAGCCCCCCCCCCCCCCCCCCCCCCCAAAAAAAAAAAAAAAAAAAAAAAGCACAAGAGAACCAAAGAAAAGAGATGGAAAAACATTTTTGTGAGTTAACCCTAAAAAGGCCGGGCTATTTGAGGTCTTGGTACGGCCGGGGGGCCATTATGCCTCCCCCCCCCCCCCCCCCCTTAAGATCTCGGCCGCAAAGCGGCCGATCGCCGCGAAAATTTGCACGCATGTCAAGTGAAGTGTATAGAATAATATGACAATTTCAAATTTTTTTTAAATTTACTCATTTGCATATTTATAGTAATTTATACAAATAAAGTCATAAAAATCAACTGAATTCAGATAAGGATCATCATAAGAGTCGAAAACGGGACAACGAATCGTCTTCTTTCTCTACTGATTTAATGAAACGTCAATTTTTTTTACCGGGGGGGGGCACAAAACCGCATGGGGGTGAAATATATGAAAAACAAAAGAGCGAAGCGAAAGAGCGGGGGTGGGTTTTGGAGGGGGTCAGAACCCCCGCCTAGAGTAGAAAACATTTGCAATTTTAGAACCATATTAGGCGTTTTTTCAGGCATTTCCTGGAGTAATATGGCGTAAAATTGCTTTCTCCTACTCCCTCCAAGAGTAAGAAGCTTTTGCAATTTGAGAACCACATTTGGCGCATCATATCCACCAGCACTTCCTGGGGAAAAAACGAGGCCTTCTGCTTGGTTAGAAGTTAGAGTCACGTCGCGAGACGTTGTTTATCTTTCGTTGCTGCAAAATGCACAAAGACGGTGGTCTGGTACTTCACCAGTAGTACCTTCAAAAATTATCTCGAGTGTATAAACTGTGTTATTATCAGGGGCGTCGCTAGACCTTTTTATGTGGGGGGGGGGGGGTGTAGAGTCCACCGATTACCGACAAAACTAGCCACCATTACCGACAAATATATTAATCCCAATGTCCCAATGTCTACAAATTTAACCCTATAAACCCGGGGCCAGGAACTAACTTATTTTTGAGTTTTCCCCCTCCCGTGCAAAGCGCGAAAGCTTTGACAATTCATTAAATTATTAGAGAAAGAAGTCGATTCGTTGTACCGTTCCCGACTCCTAATTCTTGTCTGAATTCATTTTTCCCCTTCGCGCGAAGCGCGTAAGCTGACGTTTCAATGAATTATTACTCATATTCCTTGTCTAAATTTTAGTGGTGACTCCACCCAACATCCCCCTCTCTCACTCCTACTCCTCTTCTCTCAGGCCCTAAGCCCCCCCCCCTCCCCCTCTCTCTCTCTCCTCTGTCATCCCCCGTTTCTTTTGTTTCCTTTTTCTCTTCCTTTTACCTTTTCTTTCTTTTCCTTTCTCTCTTTTCCTTCTTCTTTTCTCTTTCGTTTTCTTTTTTTCTTTTCTTTCCCTTTCCCTCTCATCTTTTGCCTAACATTTAATTTTACTAATAACAACATTAGTAAAATCAGGTTATAAAACATCATCTTATAAAAAAAAAAATACACATCATTTTGTTCGGGCATTAGTTAAATTACCCACTCGGCTATCGCCTCGGACAGGGGGGGGGGGGGGTCTAGCTTTTTGCTAAAGGGGAGGGGGTTGTTTGACCCAATGGCGATGGAGCATTTTTTTGTTGTTGCTTTTTTGAACCCCCGGTAGGTGACGTTTTCCTGGCATCTTCTAACACAATTGAGACCATAAAAAGCAGTGCATGATAACGGATAGCAGATATTGTGTGGGTATGGACACAGTCATGATGGCATTTTTCTATGTCCATCACATTTTCACTGGCAGCCCCAGCCCCCCCCCCCCCTATCGGGCAATGGGTATTCTTACTAATGCCCTCACTGTTGTATATTATTTGTATACTAACAATAATATCTTTCGCTTCGAGATTTCCCTTTGTAGGTGCTCCTTTTTTCTAAAAAAAAATCCCTTTTTTGTTGGTGCCCCCACAGTGAAATAAGAAGCAGACCTTTCAACCTTCCTGGTCCGCATACAGCCCGTCTACTATACCCACGTGGTCTCAACCTAATTATAATCATTGCGTCTAACTATAATTTGTTCTGATGGGCAATAGGATCTGTTAATCAACAAAATTGCTACAGTTTATATTTTTTAATATTGTTGACTCGCGGCAATCGGAACGGGAGATCAAATGTAAATAGGTGTTATAAAAGGGTTGATCAGATTTTGAAGTGCCACGTGTAACATGAATACTTTAATTTGTGAGGCATTAAAAAAATAGTTTCACATTATTTTGTTAAAGCTAAAGACCAGTTATGGTCATGCAATTGCATAGTGAAAGAAACGTTGTGAAATCGATCAGAAAAGGTTGATCATAGATGATCTAGCATAGATGTACTGCAAGGTTCTGGAGTCATCAAAGTTATAAGAAATTTGGCCAAGTCTTCATAAAGTTAGAAGCACTGTACACATAAAGATGTATATGGGACTACACACACGTGCATTTGCATCTCTCAACAGTATAATTTATAGATATACTAATTTACCAAATATATCAATTAGAAGGCGGTTTCCCGTCAAAATTGTTATCGTCATGTAATATTCAAAACATATTCTTTCACATGATTGATAATTAAGAGTGAGAGCTTCCCTTTTTTATTTTTTTGAAATTGAGGCGTTTCCAATACTGGTCTTTGGTATTGTGATTGTATTTGTAGGTCTACTTATTGATGAACAAAAAAAAAGAGTAATCAGTATTCTTTCTTGTCAATTTGGTGGCTCTTAAAAGAGCCTTTGGTTTAGGGTTAGCGTTAACGCTTAAGCCCTTTCTCCACGGATACGGCGTGCAAGCTGGATGTCTTTGGGCATGATGGTGACACGTTTGGCGTGGATGGCGCACAGGTTGGTGTCCTCGAAGAGACCGACCAAGTAGGCTTCGCTGGCCTCCTGAAGAGCTCCGATAGCCGCACTCTGGAAGCGGAGCTCTGTCTTGAAGTCCTGGGCGATCTCACGGACCAGACGCTGGAAGGGGAGCTTGCGGATGAGAAGCTCGGTGCTCTTCTGGTAGCGACGGATCTCACGGAGAGCGACGGTTCCTGGCCTGTAACGATGGGGCTTCTTAACTCCTCCAGTCGATGGGGCTGATTTGCGAGCTGCTTTGGTGGCAAGCTGCTTTCGAGGGGCCTTTCCTCCGGTAGATTTACGGGCGGTCTGCTTGGTACGAGCCATGATGCTTCGGTGTAAGAGCTGGAATGCACGGGAGTAGTATACAGATTATCGGGTAGAGAACGTTGGAGCACGAATGATTTGAACATAGTGTTTCGCCGGGTATTTATACCATTCCGTTGGATACGGGGATCACGGGGACAATGAAAGGCACCTCATTGGTCAGCGTTTAATGAGGGACGCCACGGCGAACAAGAGCTGTGACGTAACAATGCAAAGTCCCGAATCCCAGCTCGCTAAGCCGCGTCATGTATAGTATAGGGGGTAATAAACATGCTGGTATTGTAGGCCAGTGTATACTAGTTTGTATGTGTGTGTGTATGTGTAAATTTATCTCAAGTAGGCCTACATAAAATACCATAAGCTTTCTTGGATACAAGGAAACAGCAGATTTCCTGCTCACCCCACACTGTGGTTTGTATGGGAAATTTCCAATTTAAAAATCCATTCCTAAATATAGTGCAATAACAACAACATTACAACAACATTATGAACTAAATGTAAAATGTGAAGTACTTAATGTTACGGTAGTTTTAGGTACTGCCAGCATAAACACCTTCGCTGTACTACTTTTTACTTCCCTCACATTTAATTAGTTTTAAAAAACAGTTTATTTTAAACAACATATAGTATCTATCCCTATGACCTAATTCCTACATTATTGAACTACATATGCAAAATGTGAAGTAATTAATGTTTAAGTTAATTTTAGGTATTACATGAACAGTTACTGTACTATTTTGTTTAACTTCCATCAATTTAGTACAATATAGTATTTATAGTTGTCTATTTTTAAACAACATGATATTTATCATGATCCTACATGTTACCCCATCACTTAAAATCTTACTGAACTATATAATTGCTGCTGTCCATGTATACGTGTTGTAACAATTTAGTGTTACTTTCATAATATCTACATAATACAGTGTATTTTGAAATACCATGACATGTGCTATTTTGAAAAATATCACATATGCTTTTATCATGAACGATATTCTCCTCTGTTCTCTTTTAAGAAGTACAACGAAATTAATAGTATGAACTTTAAATGTGATTCCTCAATTTTAATTTTATATCTATGCATGGCACATTTTATGATAATCTATAATTGCCCACTGTAACTAAATAACATCTTTTTTCACCATGTATAATGAAATATCTGCCTCTTTCTGTTTATCTCTCTATCTATTTATCTCGATATTAATCTTCTTTCTGCCTCTCTATCTCCTTCCCTCTCATTTTAACTAAGAAATAAATCTGTGCAATAAAATCGTTTGATATATTAATGTTATATTATTGTAATGTGTGATTCGTTTTCTTAGTGGTGGATCTGAATGCCAGGAAACCAGTCATTGAATTAACATTACCAACTCCTGTTCGTTCGTCACAGTGTTATGCTATGTTTATGTTACTTGACGAATAAATATAATTATTTTTTTCTATTTATCCTCTTTCGAGGGACTTTATTTGTTCATATCATAAAATAACAGCTATTTACAACAGTGTTTAAATACAAAATTCATGCAGTTGTAACATATCATACATAGTACAGAACATGAAACTAATGTGACATAATCACTAACTAAAATAATGAAAACATTTTTGTAACTTTTGTAACTTCGTTTGTATCGAATTTCTTTTGATTACATTTCATATTGAGATAGGTGCGAATTTCCACCTTTAATTCTTTTATCCAATATACAGCATGTTTCCTGTGCTTTTCACTTCCAAAACATTCTCTAATATAGTTCCTATAGATAATAAATTGAGCGAAGTTTAAAATAAGATTGACAAGATTCATTTCTCTTCTCTCTATTTCATAACCTATTAAAAGAATTTCTTCGTTCAAAAGGATTTTAAAATTAAACAAAGTATCAATTAATTTGGATACAATCTTCCAAAAAAGCGAAACCTTCTTGCAAGCCAGGAGAAGGTGGTTAGTTGTGTCTGGAATCTTACATATATCACATAGATTATTATTTTTAATCTTCCATTTACATAAATTGTCTTTACTGGGCAATATTCTATGAAGATATTTAAAATTAAATTGCTTAATTCTGTTGTCATTTATAAAGTAAAATTTATAATGGAGCAACGTTTTCCAGTTAAACTCATTGGGTAAATCAAAATAAGCGTTCCAAAAATAAATGCACGGCAGATTCTGTCTATTTTTTTTACTAACATCAAATTATAATAGTGTTTGGCTTTCATGACCGCTACATCAATGGAGTCACCTGTTACTATTTCTATTGTACTGGATTCCACTGCAGACGGTGGACTATTTACATATTGTAACCTATTACGTAATTTCTGCAACCAAAAATTCGGGAATGCACTTTTTAACTTTGCCAATTTGAAGGCGGAAAGTAATTCATTTTCTTGAAAATTAATACAAATAGAATCAACTTCTTTCCAGATACCGTTAACTAAGACTTGTTTCACTTTAAAAATATTTTTTCTCATCCAGTTTGGAAAATACAATAACTCATTCATAGCTTTAATATTGCTATTATACCAAATCATTTCATTTTCAATATCTGTTACTTTAAACATATCAATATATTTTAATTCAGCCCAAGAACAAAACATGTCAACATAAAAGTTAGGCAACTGTTTTTTTCTACAAATACGATACATATCGCTCTTTTTGCAATTAAAATGCAAACAAAGTGGCAAATCCCCAATTTTCTTGATCCAATATTTAAACAAAATTTTCCAAGCACTTTGTTCATCTCTTAAATATTTATGAATCCATGAAAGACGGAGTGACCGGCATTTTGACTCTAAGTCGATCATTCCCAACCCCCCTTCTACTTCAGGATTGTGACAGATGTTTCGTTTCACCTTTTCTGTTTTAGAATTCCATAAAAATGTGTAAGCCAGTTTATTTATACGTTTAATTATTTTAGAAGGGATCGGAACTGCCGTGGCAGTATGTACTATCTGAGACATAACTAAATGTTTAATCACAACAACTTTTCCGTACAATGTAAGTTTTCTCATTTTCCATAAATCCAAGGTATTCTTTATTTTCTCTACTTTACTTTCCCAGTTTAAATTTTGAACGTCAAAAGAATTTTTACCTACATAAATACCAAGACATTTTATAGGGTCTTCAGTGAAATGTAAATCTTCAACTTCATCGTCATTTATATTAAGTTTCATAAGATTTGATTTGGTCCAGTTAATTTTTGGTCCCGCATGTGCTCCAAACAGTGCTACTTCTTTCATTATTTCTTTAACAAATTTTACAGATCTAGTAATAATCGTCGTATCGTCTGCATATTGAACGATACGTATATCTTTAAAATCAGCTTGATCTTCATTGAAGTCTGGGACTTGGATTCCCTCTATTTTGGCGTTTTGTTTAATTCTTTTCCCTAAAACCTCTGCAATTATTATAAATAAAAGTGGAGAAAGTGGGCAACCTTGCCTAACGCCTCTTTCTATTGCAAATTTGTCGGATATCCAACCAAAATTTAAGACACGACCATGAGCACCATTATATAACGTTTCAATCCATCTTAAAAACGAATCTTTAAATTTAAGTTCCCGTAACAAGGACAATAAAAAAACATGACCAATGGTATCGAACGCCTTTTTAAAATCCAAGAACATCATAACAACTGGTTTGTTTGCAAAAAGACAATAATCAATAGTATCCTGAATTAGTCTGGTACATTCAGATGCAGAGCGGTTTTTTAAAAAACCAGCCTGATCCTGTGATACAAGTTTATATATAACTTTCTGTAATCGTATTGAAAGAATGCGAGCTGCAAGTTTATAATCAATGTTTAACAGCGAAATAGGTCGCCAATTATCTAAAACATTTTTGTTACCTTTCTTATATAGAGTAAGGATAGCTTGACTTTGTGTGCACGACAATTGTTGTTTGTCGTAACCCTCATTCAGACTGTCAATTACCATATGTTTGATATCCCCCCAGAAGCATTTATAAAATTCAACACTGAGTCCATCGCTTCCAGGTGATTTGTTCATCTTCATTGACTTCAATGCTTCCCAGCATTCATTCTCTGTGATTTTTCCCTCACATAAATTTGCATCTTCTTCATTCAAAACATTTAAGTTGATATCAGATACGTATTCTTTTAAATATAATTATGGTAGTAATAACATTATTTGTATAAATACCTTATTTGTCATAAGACCTTATACTCTCTACGAATGCGTGAGCCATATAAAGTCATAAATAACGAGAAGAGAAGTCATAATTTCATTAAAATGACACAAGTTTATTTATCGATCAAAATGGTACACATTCTGATGTCACTGTGTTGGATGATTCCTTCAAGTCCTTGTGTATAATGGGAAAAAACGGAATGGTACAAGCTATATTCTTCTATACAGGAAAGGACGTATTTCTTACATTGACAGAAACAGATCCAACAAAGTCAAAGATTCAAAAGTTACAAGATAGATATGCAAGTTTGGTTTTAAAAGCTGATAAGTATACATGTCAGTGTTATCGTTTAATTGGTCTTAGTTGGCATTCTGTAGAACAAAGAATTAAGTACCAGTATTGTGTCCTCACATGTAAAGTCTTAACGAAAACAGTTCCATTGAACATCGCCAAACCCGCTCTGTCCTCTTTTGATTCCCCAACCAAGAACAGATTACATAATACGGTCGTTTTCTTACATATATCTCACTCCTTGTATAAAAACACTCCCAGAAAATGTTACAACAAGCTCCTCTCTTTCAATCTTTGAAGAGAAATGTCAAATAGTCATAAATTAATTATAATCACATTGTTTTTATTATATATTTCCTGTTTTTAAGTTTATTCCTCATATACTTATGTAACTCTCGCAATTTATTTTTTATATAATTATGTCACTTAACAAGTTTGTACATTGAATTGGATATTCTATAGTTTTTCTTATGTTGTTGTTGTTGTTGTTGTTTATGTATTTTGTATGTTGCAGTAGGTTGTCATTTTAAAGCATTTTTTTCACTGAATGACCTACCCTACTCAGTTTTTAAAGAATATATTAAGAAATAAATAAATAAACAAAGACAATACGTCAATAATATGTTACAGCAAATGAAGAATATCGGTTTTAGTTATTGATTATGGTATATATTCCCCCATTTCGCTGACGTACCAGATCAGTATATATGATGAGGTCTATCAATTTGTACAAGGCATTTATGTTTCATAAATTCATCCCATATACGTTTTGTGTGAAAAAAACCTTTGCTGTGTGTATGAAATATGTAATTATTATTAAAGTAATAAATACAACGACGTTTTCTTTAAGAGCTTATAAACCATCACCCCCTCCCACATTTTCTCTCTCTTTCTCTCTCTCTCTCTCTCTAGCCCAATTTGTGTGTGAAACAAGGTGAATAATACACCCCATTATGGGACTAATTCTAAAAAATATAGATTTTGTTTCATGATTTTATTCCCCTGCTCTGGACACCTTGTGCCAAAGGTATGAATGATGTTCATATACTGTATTAGAAAAAACATCACCGACATGGAGACATCATTTTCAACGTTCTACCTATTAAAAAATTATTGCAATTTATGTGATAAAGAATTATATTTATATCAAGATTATGTCGCAATATGGTCTAATTAAAACATGCATATTGCAGATTTCCATAGTCCGTTTGTTAAAAGCACATGTTTTTTTTTGGTTGTTCTCGATATCAATTGCATGAAAAAAACTCTTATTTCTGAATGTTTATTCAAAACATTGATGTATTAAAACTGGGCTTAGGCAACCCTGATTATAATACAAAACGTATTGTGAGGGAAAATAAATATAATTCATATACACTTTTTAATGTGAGTTTTGTATAAATTAAATAGTTTTGTGGGATATTATATTGATATACACATATAGATACTCTTCCTTTTCGCTTGAAATATAAATTCATTTATATTCTTTTCATTGCAGATAGGCTTTGATAGACGGTAGACGTCATTGAGAGCCATGAATGGGAGATGGTGACATCATAATTAGTTATGAATAGATGCAGGATGTAGAGCGAATGTATCCGGGAGAACGGATGGTAAAAGTACAATAGAACTATGAGTCTGCTTGGACTGACCAGCTAGGGACATTACTTATTGTGATCTTGCTACAACTTTTAAAAGAACATGATCTCCTTATTAAACTATCATTGTATATAAAGATATTGTCTTGAATTCTTTTGTCATGCATGTCACAAATATCTCAATAAAGGTGACATTAAGCGCTTGGTACCGGCTGTAAATTCTCATGGAAGAATACACAACTTACGCTGGAAAATATATTTTAAATGGTGATGTTAAACGCGATTTTGGTTCGAATTTTATAAAAGCTATGCGGAATGACCAACTATATAATATTAGAAAACAGAACTATCGTTTGACTCGTGATCTTACACTGTTAAAATGTGAGTTGTGATCAATTATAACATTTACAAGTTTTAAGGTTTTCGACATTTTTTTTTTGCTGATCTAAACAACTCACTTGCTACACATTACACCTTTTTGAGTCAGGTCGGAATTCCTCTCGGAATGAAATCCCTTAACAACAACCAAAGATCAGTTCTAAGCCGTGATATAAGACATTTGCTTGTAATCAAATTCAAATAAGAAATTATAAATTCATATTAATCTCGTAATAGGGCTGTTTATATTCAGTTGTTATCCTCTTAAATTAGCCATGAAGACGTTTACACTCGAGATGTACTCAGCTTGTGGTGCCAGTGATAATGTCTTCATCATATAAAATATTAATCATTTCAAAAGATGTGAGATATTTTCCAAGCTCACCAATCTGAAAATGTGATCTTCATTATTTGACTATTAAAACAAAAATATTCTGCCTCATAGGTTGATATAGTGATCCTTGCTTGTAGGGCATTTGCATGGTTAATATGTGCGCTGTCTTTATAATGGTACATGTATATATGTGGGTTTATATATATTTTCTCTCTCTCTCTCTCTCTATTTGTCTGTATCTCTTTTCCGCTCTTCCTCTCCATTTTTGAGAAACCGTAAAAGAGAGACAGTGAGAGGGGGTAGAGAAAAAGAGAGCGAGAGAGCATCCATAAGAGAACAGGTGGTCGATAAAGTGGTCAGAAGAAAAATGAGGCTTGCTATTTTACTACTATACCTACCGCCATGACCATAGGACCAGCAGTCGAATGGTTTCAATTATTTTCAAAGGTCATTGGTTCGAGCTTGTGTCCTTTGATAAGACATTAATCTAATCTTTGCAGTTGGCTTGAATTTGAAACTCATTTATCAATTAAAGTTAAACCTTTATTCTCGAATAAAAGAGCAATCGGTTAATTTAGCATTCTTTAAAGTTCATAAGACCATGGGGTTAAAGGATTATTGATAGGTTTAAAGATGCCTCTTTGGACAGGCATGTTTTACGTAAAAAAAGAGAACACTTCTTTAGTAAATTATCTAGGGAGGGGGCATGTGATGCACGATTAATTTCTATAGGGGGCACAGTTTGTTCTAATGATATTTGGGGCATTGTGCCCCTGTCCCCGGATTTACTGACTTATATTGTGACAATAGGATACCTGTAAATAAAGAAAACAGGTCCAATTCCTTTAAGATGGATATTACTGGTTCTTTCTTAGATGACAGTAAAAGGGCGCATTTTCTTATCGACAATCAAAAGTGTAGGTTAAGTTTTACTTATCAATGCCACTTGAAAGAAAGGAAAAAGGACACGTAGCAGTATTCCCATTTCAATTCGACACTTATATTTCATTATGAAATAGGAATTGAAAAAGTTGTGCACCCATTGAAAGGATCAGGGGACTTATCAAAGTAAAAGGGTGCACTTATCATCTTTGAATAGTGGCAGTTATATCAAAGGGGAATGGGGCACGAGTAGGAAGGGGAAAGGGGCGCTTATTGCAAAGGAAAGGAGACTCTTATCAAAGAAATATAGCGCACTTATAAAAGAGGGGAGAGGTACTGATTAGAAGGGGTAATTATCAGAAGGGGGAATTAGGTCTCGTTACAAAATGGCATGTTTGATGATTCTACTCAGGCTTATTTTTAGTAAAAATTACTTATGTCTGGTTGGCTTTAAACGAACTGGCCAATTAAATCTATTGCATATTTGATAACGCGTATCAATGATAAGTGTCATCTGTTGTTTACATAAATATTGCCACAAAATCACCCCCGATATTTTGTTTTCAAGGTAATGCATATGTGAACTTATAATGTGCGTAATATTCACATAACAGAGTAGACCATTCGCATGATATATATTTTTGTCATATTTATCATTCATTAATTGCCGATAGGTCCTACGGGGGAGTAGGCCAACAACTGCAACAACATGAAAACAAATCTTTCTTGGTAATGTGGTGGCTCTTAAAAGAGCCTTTGTTTGTTGAGAAACGCGTTAGGTTAATAACCTAAGCCCTCTCGCCACGGATACGGCGTGCAAGCTGGATGTCTTTGGGCATGATGGTGACACGTTTGGCGTGGATGGCGCACAGGTTGGTGTCCTCGAAGAGACCCACCAAGTAGGCTTCGCTGGCCTCCTGAAGAGCTCCGATAGCCGCACTCTGGAAGCGGAGCTCGGTCTTGAAGTCCTGGGCGATCTCACGGACCAGACGCTGGAAGGGGAGCTTGCGGATGAGAAGCTCGGTGCTCTTCTGGTAGCGACGGATCTCACGGAGAGCGACGGTTCCTGGCCTGTAACGATGGGGCTTCTTGACTCCTCCAGTCGATGGGGCTGATTTGCGAGCTGCTTTGGTGGCAAGCTGCTTTCGAGGAGCCTTTCCTCCAGTAGATTTACGGGCTGTCTGCTTGGTACGGGCCATGATGCTTCGGTGAGAAATGAGACTAGATGTACGGGAATTAGATGCTCCTGGTAGTTGAAGGTCGAATGATGCACTTCACGTTTTACGCCGAGTTTTTATACCCTTCCATTGGATACGGGCCCGGGATCACGGGGACAATAAAAGGCACCTTATTGGTCAGCGTCTAATGGGACGCCACAGCGAATAAGAGCTGTGACGTAACAATGCATAACACGGGACCATTCACGGTTCCTAGGTCTGATGAATGTTAGTAGTATTAAATGCCTCACTTGTTTTGTATTCATTGATTTTATTTATAAAAACTCCAATTTTTTGTCGTACGTAACATAGTTCATACAAAATTGCAACATAATAATACTCAAACTTTTTTATCATTTGATAAACGAACATAAATACAACATAATTCATTGTTCACAATTTCACAATGTTTAGGACTTCAATATATCAGAATAACATAATAGGAAAAGATTACCGCACTACACCGTTATTTCATCCCCCAAACTAGAACAATTTTTTTTAAAGAATAAAATAGACTGAATATTCAAAAAAAGAAAAATGAGTTTCATAATTCTCAAACAAATTATTATGCAGAATTGAAATTATGAGTTTTTCTTTTAGTAAACCACAATCTACCCCCAAAACCCTCTCTTTTCGTTGCCTCCTCTCTAACTCATTGGAGTATCACCCCACCCCTCCCCTTCCCCCTCCTCCTCCCTTCTACTTGTGTAGATAGGGAATGCACCCTTCCTACCTCTTAATCGACCATCTTTTCTCTTATATACGGACGCCCTCTCTCTCTCAGCTCTGTCTCTGTATCTGTCTCTCTTTCACACCTTTTCCATATTGGAGAGGGTGAGAGAGTGAGAGAACGAACTAGACAGAGAGAGAGAGAGGGAGAGAAAGAGAGAGAGAGAGAGGGATAAATAGAGGGAGAGAGAGAGAAGAAGAGAAGAAACCCACATAAAATTAATGTACCATTATAATGACAGTGCACAAAGTAACCATGATAACGAACAATCACGTTACGGTTAATGTTGTCCTAAAAGCAAGCATCAAATAGCAATCTATGAGGCAGAATATATTTTCTTTAAATAATTTCAAATAATGAAGATCACATTTTCAGATTGGTTTGCTTGGAAATTCTGTTACATCTTCGGAAATGATTACTATTTTATATAATGATAATAATAATATTTCGCTTTTATATAGCGCCTAACACATCGATACAACGATGTGTCTAAACGTCTTCAGTCTTATTTTAAAGGATACCAACTAAATATAGATAGCCTTACTACAAGATTGATATGATGTCTTATCTGAATTTGATTACAAGCACATGTCTTATGAATTTTAATGGTTTAGAACCGATCTTTGGATGTTGTAAAAGGATTTCATTTCGAGAGAAACTAAATCAAAATTTATTCTGAGTTTGCTTAATAATTATGTAGAGAATGAGTTGTTTAGACCAGCAAAAATCCCGAAAAGTTTACACTAAAAATAGTGACCACTGAGCACAACTCACATCTTAAATATTTTAGATATATGAATATACAATTATACCGGAGTGTTGGCTCAGTCAGTAGAGCGTCCGCCTCACAACCGGGAGGTCGTGGGTTCGAACCCCGGCCGCGTCATACCAAAAGACGTTAAAAGATGGGAGTTGTTGCTACCTGGTTTGGCGTTCAACAATATGGGATAGAGCAACGTCGATCTGGCGCTGCTCAGTGGCTGCCGGGCTCACGATCAATTGGGCAAAAAGAATTTCCGTTTCGGTTTAATAAAATTTGGAGTGGACTTATTAGGCTATTTTTATTATTATTATTATTATTTATTATAATTTAATTTGGGAGATCCTGTTTCCTAAAAATTGTAGCAAGATCACAATAAGCAACTGCAATGTCCCTCGTTAGTCAGTCCAAGCAGACAATCATTGTCCAATTGTGCTCTTACCATTTGTGTTTTCCCGGATACGGTCGCTCTAAATCCTGCATCTATTCATATCTAATTATGATGTCTCCATCTTCCATTCATGGCTCTCAATTACCTCTACCGTCTATTAATGCTCACACCCCAAGTGTTAAGAGGGTAATTGTAGTAATATTTCCATTAAATGTTGTGAGCACTGAAACCGGTATAGCCTATCCATATAGAGTCGGGGTAATATTGGAGCGCCTACAGCTTCAGCATCTCGCGGGTTGGATTATGTCCGCTATATACATAATATTATAATTATATACCACTAGTACGACGTCTCCTTCTCCTACTTGAATATTCTTTTTCTCCTTCTTCTACTTCCTTTTTTCTCTCTCTCTCCTCCTGTGCCTTCTTCTTCTTATCCTCCTGCTTCTTCTTCTTCTTCTTCTTCTTCTTCTTCTTCTTCTTCTTCTTCTTCCTTTTTTCTCTCTCCTTCTCCTCCTTTGCCTTCTTCTTCTTCTACTCCTCCTCCTTCTTCTTCTTCTTCTTCTTCTTCTTTCTATTCTTCCTTTTCTTCTGCAACCTCTTCATACTCGCCTTCATTTCCCTTTCTCTTCATCTTCCTCCTCCTCCGTCAATTTCCTCTCTTTCTTCTTTTTCTTCTTCTTTCTCTGTTTTCGCCTGTGTTCTCTTCCTCCTGCTTTTATCACCTCCTTGTTGTATTTGTTATCGATCGCTGGGTCGGACGAGTATTTAGTATTGATCGACCTCAAACAGACATTATTCTCCCGTTATATTCAACCAAAAATACTTCCAAACATGCCAAAGTTTAGAGTGACTTAACCTAGTTCTGTGATCACCACATCACTGAACACGCTTAATTTAGTAAGAGCACGTATGCATGATATCAATCATCTAAATATTCATTCTGATCACTTTTATTAGTAACGTTCTGATATCGAAATATTATAGTATATTGTAGTATACACAGGAAAATTATTTTCAGGTTGCTCATGAATATCTGTTGGAGATCATCGATTTCCCAGCGTTTTTAGAAGATCTCTGAGAGTATTGATCGAAAGTTACTTTGGAGGTAGGCTGATAAACACTAACTTGTCAAGATGCTGTTGTGTTTTTGTTAAAACCTCCCTCTGGAAATATGCAAAAATTCTCAAAAATTAAACGCTAAGAATTTAAGAAAATAAACAAACTGTAAGATCAGAATAATATGTCCTTTAATCATGTACGACGTTGATATACCTGGTTGTTTTTATGAATAATTTAGCAAATTATAATAGTAATTAATACATTGTATTTGCATGTCCATCTAAGTTCCAGAGGGACGTTGTAAGATATTTAAACCAGCCATTAATCAATAATGACAAATGCAGAAATGTATTGTGGTTAAGCTTCGTGCACCATCAATTATGCAAGCCCATCCTTGTTAAAATACATCCACAATAAAGCAGTGACGTCTTTATGTAAGATAAGAAAGATCAGAAAGAGAAACAAGATTTCTTGGACATGACGATTGCGCAAACCTGTCCTCCTTAAAACACAAAATCCGTACCATTTTCGCTCAGAAAATGAGCGCAATTCTTGGATAATTACCAGGGAAATATTTTTATCTGATTGTGGGAGGTCAGCGAGTGCATCATGAGGAATTTACAATCAAAATGTGTACTCTTAAACGGGGCTGTCTGTATCACCTTGGTAAGCCGCCATTTTGTCTGTCGCCATTTTGTTCGTTACTATATCATATATATAAATGTGGGTCATAGTCCAGTAATTTTACAATATAATACAACTAATAAAACTCCTGTCGGTAATATTGTGTTGTTTTAAACTTCCAGCCTTACAGAGTTAACCTTGTTTTTTAAATGTCAATGAAAGCTGAATAAACGAAGATGATTTTGATGAGCTTATACAACCATTTCACACAAATAAATGTATAACGCAGAATACAGCCCTCTGTAATTTATGTAATTATAATTCATTTATCTAATTTATTTGTGGCATACACCAATCATAACGATTGATGGGATTTATGGCATATCATTTAGATAGATGAACTAATTGACTGGATGAGCTGGCAACATGATAATAATGTATTTAAAATCATCCTGAAGAAAAATCAAAGTCATCTACTAAAGCAGAATTCATGAAATATTTGATTCAAGAATGCCTCTAGATTCAACATAGTTTTACAAATCAGTAGATCTAGAGAGACTATTGAACACTTCTATTTAGTTTATGGTGTTTTATAATCAATGAAGTAATACAATGAATGCAATATATACTGAAAAGGTTAATGCAAGAAAATGTCAACAGAAATTTACGATACATTTTCTATTTCTCATTATCATTTTCCAGATGTTGATATTAAAAATGAATCGACAGGGATTAACGCCTGACAAAACTCTTTTTGGATATCTGCATCACCTGTATAATTGTGATCTTCATTACGATATATTCATAACTAAATCTGAACTAAATCTTGATGTATTGTCTTTGTGTTTTCTGTGCATTTGAATCCGAGTTATTTTAATATTTATGGCATCACTTATTCCACAGAATCTGATACTGTTGGCTACCATCCTTGGACAAGCAGGTATGAATATCGAACTAATTTAACATTTCAGTTTCTTAATTTTTTTACCTTTATTAAAAATTAAAAAATCGTTTTCATTTCACTTCTTTAATGTAAAATGTTAAGGTTTTCATAACACGAATCGTACACAATAATTTCATCTTATAGAAACGTATTATTTATTTCAGCAGGAAAATTTATTCAAACTATCAAAAATATAATCAAAATATTTAAGAGGATGTTATAATATGTATGATACTTTTATTTAGCACCAACATTTGTTATGGTGTTTTTAGGAAACACTTAAAATAAGTGTTCTTTGTAATGGGCCTCGCTGGGTTATTGATATTTGCTTTAGAATCAACATTTTCCTTGGTTTTCGCTTGAAGATGAATTGCTACAAAATAATGTCTCACCCCCTATGTCAATTGAGGTTTTATTCTTTATCGTTGGACAAGCGCATGTAGATCTTTCAGAATAAAAGAAGAAGTAAATAGATAAGGGTGGACATGGTTATAAATAGTATAATGGTTATCATTGCTCTTCCATGTAGTTTCCGAGGATGCGTACTGTTCACAAAGTGAGATTGATGTCTCACCAATCAAAGACCGTGTGATGACGGACACAGCTAACCGCATCGTCATCATCGACGACGCCGTCACCGAATGCTATGGACGAATTGGACGTTGGGTCTACTACAGGTAATATGCAAAGTTTTAAAAGAGGTCATTATGTTAGTGGGTTACTAATACTGTTAACGGAGGGTTCTCCTAAAATTCGATGGGTGGTATTCCAGTAGCGCGTACTAAGTTAGTTCACACGTTTATGGAGTGCCTGTTGCAAACTAATTAACCTTGTACAGATTATTTTAATCCTTCAATGAAAAGTGTCCAAAAAATTTAATTTTGCAATGAAATAGGAAGAAAAAGATAATATGAGTATGAACTGAATTTCAGCAAAGTCTTTGGTAGATTATCTTTGTCATGAATATTGAAGGAGAAAGATAAAACCTAGCATTCCATAGAAGTGTGAACTAAAATTCTTGTTTAGTCTGGACTTAGTCCCGGCTTAACTTATGAGAATACCACCCGATGTATATAACTGCTTTTATTGTTTTGTTTGTATTTGTTTGTTGGGATGTAGTTGATAACAATGCTCATTTCAAGTGAAAGTTGAAATTGAATATCGAGATATTCAATGAAAACTGAGGAATAACCTATTTAGCTGATTGGGGAGGTGGGGAAGGGGCTACTGGCGTTGCAAGAGGGGGTGATAACCTAATCTGTAAACATTATGTTGGCAAATTTCTGATCATCAAAATGATAAGAAAGACTATATCTCAGCCCCCCCCCCTATCTCTCTCTCTCTGTCTCTCTTTCTTTCTTTTGCACTTTTGGAAAAGTTTTAGACAAATTTGTCCCGACAGCTCCCCAAGTCAAAATGGTCTACCTCATGTGCCCTGCAATTATGACATAATATTATTATATCAATAATGATTTAGAAGCGGGACTAGGAAGTTCACTCAGTCGAAATGTTATACAAAACATAAAAAGATTAATAAATGGCTGATGTTGACCAAACCTAAAAATTAAACATGTAATACTCTTCACCATCTTCCAGTACGAACAACCAGCCGTTTAAACCTGGGGTATGGCGATTGCAATCCGGGAACTACTGGAAGCTCGTCGGTGAGAACACGATTCCGGGAACGACCGGTGGATACACCATTTATGATGTCGATGCCGCTGATAAGATCCAATTTCAAACCAGGTGATAAGATCGGGTTTCGGTTTTCGAGTCCCGCTCTTAACTACGACAAGGGATTCGACGCCGTGGCCCACCGTTACGCCGCGATCAGTGACTACGGCACAGCACACAGCCCTGGTTTTGTGTATACAATCAGTTCCACGGATACCAAGTCCTACTCTATCAAAGCTGTCTTTGATGACGACGGTATGTTGTTGATATCAGGAAGAAAATGTTTATGAAGTTGTTCTTTTTTCTTCGACAAAAATATATCGAGAAATATTTGAATTATGGTAGCGATTAAGAGCAGTTCAATTTCTCCATAGCAAGAATAGTCACTTATAGTGAATCATTTTAATCTTATTCAGTATGAGGCCAGGAAAGAAAACATTCAAAGCCGGTTGGATTTGGGAAAGAATTACATTTTTTGGTCCACTCAGATGTGTTATATAATTATAATGACGCGTGTTGTGGTGGCATTTGTTTCTCTTTGACGATGATGATACAAGAAAAAGGCACATTTCTTATATCTCTTTATCATGAAATTTCTTGGTAGCATCTGATTCTTAAAAAGAAAAATATATGATGAATTCCTCTAGTTGTGTTTTCTTAATGTCTTCGCTACATTTTGGCTTGTTGCTTGTTATACGCATTCATTTGATGTTTTACGTTTCCATGGTTTCTTACGAATTACGTATCTACCATTTTCTGTTTTTCAGATTTTACCTTTGATTGTGCATCAGAAACCCATGGTCCTGTTGTGGGCTCAAGGTCTAGTAATGATGGCGGAAACTACGTCATGGTAATGACTAGTCTTCCATTCGAGTGCTATGGACAGGTCAAAGGTCAGGACATTAATATTTCTCTTTCGTCCCATCATTCCTTTCATTTTATTCATTTGTTTCCGTTTCATTATGAATCAAATATGTAATGAAATTATGATCAAAGCTAGAGCCAATAGAGGTAACTTAAGAGAAATTGGTAATTTCATTTCACTTAACCATTCATTTTAATTAATGTATGTATTTCAGTTTCCAAATATGCATGAAAAGTATTATGACTTGTGCAGCAATATAGACTAACTAACGAGTACATTCATTAGAGTATAGTGGCTAATCAGTCTTTCAAGAGTCTGAAGGGTCCTTTATAACTATGTACCAAAGTATATAAAGTAACGCTTTTCTGGCGTTTAGCAGAGGAGTTATGATTGTCGTAACAGCACCTACACAAATGTAAAGAGCATTGCAAGCTTTAGAGCTATCGGCGTCAGTAGATATTCAAAAAGGTTTCTTTTCTCTCCTTAAAGGAAGTACTTAATAAATTTTGTTTTATATCAAAATGTGATGCATTTCAACGCACATTATTATATCTCAAAACAATCTTTTGTGATATTCTGTTGACTTCAATATATCCCAATTTCTTTAAGGATGTATGTTTTGGCTTTACTTTCAGAATAGTGATTACACTATACAATCCCTTTAATGGTCACTTTATTTCAGGTTGGACGTACTGGGCTGCTGGGGCCAGTGGTGGATTTCGACCCGGTATATACCGTCCGATCGATGGTTCTACCACTCAGTTCACCCTCATCAGCGAAACCAACATCGAATCAGGACATCGCCTGAACGAAGAGGTACGACTTACATGGAGGATAGGGTTGCCTTCGCATCACCAAGAACTGAATCCAAGGGGCCATCTATACATATTGTTTGGCCAAGTTGATTTCAGTTGGTCACAACATGGCGTATATTCTTATAATCTGCTTGCCCAACAAACCATTATTCGCCATATTGTGCCCATCTCGAACCGTTCTGATGGCTCCAACCATTTACCGCCCTATAAAGAGCCTGGATGCAGTGTTTTGCCTACCACCCCCCCCCCCCCCCCCGTCATTCAGTATCTCTTTCTGACTTATCATGCTCATAACAAATTCTTAATTATAATATGTTCATCCGACTAATTGTGATATCTAAATAAATAATGATCAAACGGACAGGAATGAGGACGCCAAAATGTGAATGTTTAGCAAGTTATGAAAGCAAATATTTATTTAAAGTCCCATTGCACTACTTATAAGTACTTGCGCCCTCTATATAGTAAACAATGCCTAATCGGTGCCTGTTGGTCCCCATGTTCCCATTTTTCTTATGTGAATTGAGAGCTGATTTGATGAGATAACCACCTGTCAGTGACCTTGCAGGGTGGTCTAATCTCCCCTGGCCAAATTAGTGCAGACGGTCTATAAAGAATAATTTCCCATATTGATATTAGTATTCCTTTTGTAATCCTCCTTCTATAGGTCACATATCTGATTGAGGATGAATCTGAGTGGCTGACCTATAACCCCGGTGACCTGATAGGCTGGCGATGGAACAGTGCTGGGTCACGTCTTCGATGGACCAGCAGCGGGACGGAGATCATGGTTATGAAATATGCAGGCCATGACGACACTGCTTACAGCAGCTATGTGGTTGGAGATACTTTCACCGTCGGCAGCGACATGAGCAGGGCGTATTCACTTCAAGCTATGCTCTCACCGTTCGGTAAGTGGTTATCCCAGCTCTTAACGATACAGTTGTGGTTGATGATGATGATGGTGATGATGATGATGATGATGATGATGATGATGATGATATTGATATCGGCGATACGGCTCATCACAATGATGATGATGATGAAGATGATGATATTTTATTTATTTATTTATTTATTTATCTATTATATTTCATTTCCAGGAACGTAAAGGAATATAACAATAACGAAGAATACAAGAAAATGAATTACAATAATAAATTCAATAACAGGAAAAAAGCCATTAAACTAATGCTAATATTATGATGATTATATTGATGATGAAAATTATGGTGATGATGACGACGATGATGATAATTATGATGAAGATGGTATAGACAATGACAATAGTAGTAATGACTACGATCGTAATGATGATTTGAAGTAAAAAAGGAAGTATCCAAAATAGGATAAATTGTGACGTAACTGGCAGCCGACGATATACACGTGCTATGATTCGTATTTTTGACGAGTTAATTTCGTCGATTAGAAAGCATGGAGACTGCGCGTTTTCTTAAATTAATGTGCTTTTGCTTGAACGACATTTTGGTTTATGATGATGGTGGTGGTGATGATGATGATGATGATGATGATGAATTCTCTGTCTTCTTGTATTTTTACAGGATACAAGGGATGTTACCCTGACAACGTAGCAGAGCGTGAGATGTCGGTATCGGCCGGTCATTTCTCCCTTTCCGAGATGACCAGGATTAAATGTATCTCATCTTGCGCTCAATTAGCATACCCGTGAGTTCATTCCCAGATTGCTCATTGATTTCTTTAATTGAGGAAAAAAAAAAATACATACTATTTCATTCGAACTTAATATAATGTATTAAACAAACTTCCTTGATTTTCTTTAATCAAATTATCGTTCCCTTATGCCTTTCAGATCTTTATTTTTTACTAAACATTAAAGGGTAATAGGGCGAAAACGCCAAAAATGAGAACCGTAAGAGTTTAGTGTTGTATTTCAACTTCAAGCGAGGTCAATACATCCCTTATATTATACGCTCTTACTTTCATGAGCTCGACGTAGGTAACCTTGGAATAAAACAATAACCCTCATGAACGTCCAGCGAAAATGTTTTCTTACTGTTATTCGCCCGTTTTTCCTTTTGTTCATATTTCAAATAATGTTCATGATTCTCTTTACTGCATATTTAATTTTCCGGCTAAGTCGGTAACAAAACAAAAATTAATTACTGCACTCGGCAAGCTGGACCTGCTTTAATCGACAAAATATTTAGCATTTCATGGGATCAGGTTAGTAAAGCAATCACTTGGGCAACTTTAAAAAATATAAGCCCAATCTTTAGGACATTCCCGAATCCTCTCTTAATTTCTACTATTGTTCCGTTTTCTTACCATATACCGTATCAAATAAAACGAACATGTAAATAATTCCCCCCCCTCTTTTCTAATGCCCAGATTTGCTGGAGTCCAACAGGGGAATCTGTGTTTTTGCAGTAACTCATACGGTGACTACGGGGTGGGAAACTCTACTCTATGTGACTATTCCTGCGAGGGTAACGAGTATTTCACCTGTGGTGGATTCCTCTACAACCAGATCTTTACCACCCCAGAGGTTGTCAAAGGATACACCCTCGATTCAGTCGGTAAGTAGAGACACTAATTTCATTCATTTTGGTATGTTCTTTCTTACTCCTGTTATTTTGTTTGGTATGCATTTGCTTTTAGGTGATTTGATTTTGTGTGCAAAAGTACGTCTTGAGCATTTAATTTCAAGTAGATTTTGCGTCTTACGAACGTCATACACTCAAAAAAAAAAAGTGCTAAATTTAGCACTTAAAGATTCAATTTTAGCACTTTTTAGGAGCTCGCATAGTGACTGCACTCGAAGTGCTGAGTTAGCACTTGCACCGGGCTACTTTGCTAGCACCCAAAGGAGCTGACTGTTGTGCTAAATTTAGCACTTAAAGATTCAATTTTAGCACTTTTTAGGAGCTCGCATAGTGACTGCACTCGAAGTGCTGAGTTAGCACTTGCACCCGGGCTACTTTGCTAGCACCCAAAGGAGCTGACTGTTGTGCTAAATTTAGCACTTAAAGATTCAATTTTAGCACTTTTTAGGAGCTCGCATAGTGACTGCACTCGAAGTGCTGAGTTAGCACTTGCACCCGGGCTACTTTGCTAGCACCCAAAGGAGCTGACTGTTGTGCACTTAAAGTGCCAAGTTTTGCTCTCTTTTGGGTGCAGAATAGCCCTTGTGCAAGTGCTAACTCATGCGTTGTTTGACATGCCCCATCTACATTTGGTATGTGGTCAAGGTGGATGTCCTTCGTCATTTACCACTTTCAACTCTTACAGGAAACATTTATTAACCAACATCCACAAGAAGAACCTGAACCTGAAGTTGTACAGGGTATGGAGGGTCTAGTTGATGCTGATTTGGGTGTTGCTGTTGGTGAAGTGCATAATCCTGCAGCAGATGATGCATTTGATGATGATGATGATAGGATAGGCCTACTACAAGAACAAGATGGAGCAATGCATAATGACAGTACAAGACACTATGAATATGACAGACAATGAAAGCGGACAAAATATACAGTTCCTTAGGTAGACAAAGGAACATCCCTTCACTGCTATTATGTAAAAATGTGTAGAACACAGGTGTCACATGCATATTCACCTGTTTTACACATTTTACATAATAGCAGTCAAGGGATGTTCCTTTGTCTACCTGAGGAACTGTATATTTTGTCCGCTTTCATTGTCTGTCATGTTCATAGTGAGACCAGCTGCATTTTTCATTGGTTCTCTTTTATCAAACACCAACATGACCCATGCTATGACAAACAGAGTGTTATCTGCTGCAACAGCTTTGAATACTGATGTTGTTGACAGTTTAAGGAGCAAAGTTATTCAGACTTTTGAGGCCTTGGGTATTGACCTGGAGAATGAAGAATGTAAGAATCTCTTAGCTGAATTTGATTCAAAAACAATATTCACAAGGGTAACAGCTATTATACTAACCGACCAATCAGATCAGGTTATGCAGTCAGCACTCGATGTTAAATGCTGCATATTGTTATAGCTCGTTTTCTGCACTCAATATTCAGCACGTTTCGGTTTCCTTGTTAAAGTTAACCCGTCAAGTGCTGATTTTGGCACTTCAAGTGCAGAATCTCACTCAGCACCCCAACATTTAGCACCTCAGTTTTTTGCGTGTATAATCATGGTCAAACTATATTCATCGTTTACTCTAAAAAGTAATCTCTTTACACTGCATGTTCCCACAAACCATTTCACACCTTATTATCTCTTACTTGGGATTATGAAAGTGCTGTCTCTGTTTCCAATTCCGACCTACAG